ATTGCTCAGCCCTGTGGTGAAGCTATGAAAATCAGTTTTTTTCCCAACACCCACGGATGATGTACAACTTCCTAATAGAGACATTTTAGGAGGATAGTCTGGGGAAATTCATTACTGTCCCAGAAATCCCTGGGAAGTTGCGAGCTAGCACATGCTTCATCCACAGCACTTGCACTGCATTTTTTTGCATTTGCTGCCCACACAGCACCAAAAAAGCTTGGCAAACATGGAGGAGAAAGTTAGCTGCTCAGATCTGTCTCCATGACCTAACAGATGCCCTTAATTAGCTAGAATCACTACACATTGACTGAGGAACTATGCCACCCAATGAAAGCACAGCCAACTATACTTCAGTCACTGATGGCAGTGGCTTTGCCCCAGCAACAGACACTGACTCTACAGTGGTAAAAACAGTGCCTGGACTGGTTGAGCTGCTTACACAATAAGACTGCGAATGAGGCAGTGGGCTGTGAGAAAAGAGAGAGACCTGATTGGTAAAATGCTGCAGCAAATGAATTTTCTTAACAAGCCATGCATCTGCCGGCAGGCCCAAAGTTTTATTACACACTTCTATAACCTAAGAATAGCTCCATTAATTTGCATTAAAGCTCCTGTAGTTACAGAATAATAAGCTTTTGTATGAAATAAACCTGGATTGTTAAAGAGTTAAAGATATCCACACAAGCTATTTGGTGGTTGTTTGCAGCATGTTCAGTTGTAGTCGATGTTAAAAATATGAGAACAAAACAAATTTGCTCTGAGACCATAGCCTAATGTAAATGTTCATGCAAAACTACACAACGGACAAGTGACATCTTTTTAAAACCCTCAAACACAGTCTAACAACTTTACGCAGAGCCAGCGTCTAAGACTTTGCTACAAAGAACTTTATACTCTTTTAAATCACATAATTAGACTTCCTGGAATCGTATCAATTGAATGTTTGGTTTTCATGATTCCTAAGAAGTAATGAAAACATATCTTAAAATGTAGGAGTCCCAGGAAATTATACTTCCACCAGCAGTGAGTGACTATAAAATTATAGACTAGTATGTGAACATTGTCACTGCCATGAAGGAGCCCAATCAAATGTTTTGGCCTAATCAGTGGGGAAAAGATATGTTCAGAAGTGTCTTCACATGCTTAAGTAGCTTGTCTAAATAAATGCATAAATTTCAGGGCCACAACACTTCCCTTTAGGCTTTCCAAATTACCACTTCAACCCATAAAAATGCAGAAAAACAGACAGGAGCGAATACTTTGTCACGGCACAACATGTGGTTACCACCGAAGTCTTTCATTGGTGGAAATTGAGAGAGGAGCGCTGCTTTGAAAATGAGAAAGTGTTTGTGGTGGACAAGCCAGTTACTATGGTTACAAGCAGTGAATCCTCAATCAGAGGTCATAAGGGTCATCTACTTACAGAGAGACACAGAGAGGCTTGATTAAGCTGGAGAGAGAAGAGAGCAAAGACAAAAGCAGAGCAAAACATCTCTATACAAAGAAGAAGACAAATTCAGTCCTACAATGTCCTGGGGAACATGTGCCCACTCCATCTAACATACAATGTGATTGGCATGACCAAAACACATAGATCAATAAATCAACAAAGCCATAATTTACCCACTTAACCTTATATTATTTAAAGAAATAAGTTCTGGAGAGTGAGATACCAGGGAGTCTGTTTTTAGGACAAGTTAAGGGAAAAAAAGGACTTTATTTAGGCTAGTGGTTCGCCCCAAGTAACTGTTAGGCCTAATTCTCTGAAACTCAGTTGCTATTATGCAATTACGATGCTAAAATGAAAATGCAGCTTTTCTTCAACAAATCATTCAAACAATGTGTGGAAATTTCCTTTGTTTTGCAATCTTCAGCGAATACTACCCACTTCTCTGTCCCAACAGTCATGCTAAAGTGAACTTTGGATACTGAAACAACCAAATACAAATATAAATCACATAAGATATAATGACATGGCAAACCAAAATCCTTGGAGCATAGCTCAGTGGTCTGTTGCACTCCACGTTCCCTACACATCCTTCCTGTCACACTGAAGAAGCAAAGTTTCATGAATTCCAAACTGCCTGATCAGTAGTAAGGCTTGTAATGACATAATTATATTAGCAAATGAGTCTCAGACTCTCCGTCTCTCTTGTCCTCTTTGACTCCATGGCAAGTAAGCAGAAAGCTGTTTAACAATTTGAAGTTGAGAGTCTCAATGTTATTACGCAATTACACAGTTAAGTTACTTAGCCTATCAACGTGTTCAAGTTAGCGCTTCTGTCTTTTTTTCTGTTTGTTTTGATGTTAAGAAACGACAAAAAGCACGGTGAAAATGTGAGGTATGTACAGGGGCTGTACACACAACAATAAGTACTTCCAAACCCAAAAGTGATATCAACTGAAAGTTTGAAATCCGCACTGTCAAAAGAATTCTTCTGCTTGTTACAATGAGCTACAAGTGAGAAATAATCAAACTATACCAGGCCTTCATTACTTCCAGCGATGACTGTGACTTGCAAGGGTTAAAGCCAGGGGCCGATCAGTTCTGCTCCCTTCCCTCCACAAAACATGCAACATTTTGCCTCTGATTTCATACAGCACATCAACAAAAACAACACCGGCTTCTCTTAACATGCTACCATCAAGACTACACTGAATATGTATGGAATTCCAGTGCAACTCCAAATTTCATTTGAGATGAATAGCTGTGGTTGCTCCTCTACACTTCTATGCAGATTCTTCAGTGTATTTATGCAGAGTATGCCTGTTTTATAAAGAAACGCTTGCATATAGGAGGAAGAATGAAGATGTGATTGGTCAGGGACAAAAGGCGATGGGGGAAGACAGCTGAAATGAAGAGTTGAGATGAGGATTTTGTTGTGGTGAAAAGGAGTTAAGTGAGCAGATTAGAATGTTTGAGTAGTGAGCCGACTAAATCTCCTGTAGCCTACAGTGATTCGACACTGGTAAGAGAGCCAGATGCACAGAACACTACACCCACACTCCAGCGCACCCACCTCTCCCTCTCTCTCTCTCTCTCTCTCTCTCTCTCCTGTTCTCTTTCTCTCTCTCTCTAGAGGGATACAGAGAAAGAGAGAGAAGCCCTAAAAAATATTACAAGCAAATTGAGTGCACTATGATACGGGGACACATATCTGAGAGACACATGTAGATAAGTGGTTTAGAAATGCTTTTTAAAGATCAAAAATAGTAAAGGGGCGACAGCGAGAGACATATATGTAGATTTAATTTGCCCCCTCCAAAGCTAATTTGAATGCACAGACAAGCCTTCAACACCTCCGCAATCTCGCCTCTTTCACGGCCTTGCGGTGCTCTGAATGTGTGTCAATCAATACGGTCCAAGCAAGTTTGTTCTGCATTGCTTGTTTCGTCAGGGGCAGGGAACAGCTGCTCTCTCTCTCTCTCTCTCTCTACACAGACACACACACACATATACAAAAAGGCCACAGGCTTTTCTAATCAGATTACTTTACAATAACGGTGCTGCCACAGCCCACTGAGCAATGTTTATATGTGCTCTCAGGCTAGGATCCACATGATTCACATTAAAGCAGTAAAATGGAAGATACTATGTGTTCAAGTGCAGCCTGACCGTTTTTAAAAACGCACATCACGGGTCCACGTGTGCGCTTTGCGTGTGCTGCAGGTCATACGTCAAAGCAACGTCACTGCATGCAAAAAACAGGGTTTACCTTGTTACCTACTGCAGTATCCACACAGAAAAAAACAGACCTAATGAGCACTTAGACCAGCTAGCCTCGGGTAAAGAAGTGAGATGTAGGCAGAGATTAACTAATGCCGTGCGCAGGGACCTCTCCAACTTACTCATCAAACTGTACACGTACACGTTCGCCCACGACTCCCGCGGCACTACGGGGCGACTGCAGCGCACCGAGGGCCTTTAAAGGCACCCCTACACGGCCAGCGCTGCGAGGCTCTAACCGTGCTGTGTAACACAGGAAACGCTGAGGCCTTTTACTAAAAACTTGAGGAAGTGTTCAGGGCTTGGGGGTTGATGGGGTTGGTGGTGGTGGTGCTAGTGCGGAATCTCTACCACTGCACCCAGTGTGATGTGTTTTGTAGTTTTCCGTTCTTCGAGATCGGACGTGTAGGAGAGCAGCTGTGTGGTCACACACTACAGCCTGGACGTGCCTAGTGCAGAGTGTGAGGCTGCTCGACGTGACCGCCCATGTTAACTAAAGCTCGACATATTTGAAGGCTGCTGGTCGTAAACAGTCGAGAAGGCCACTTCGGGATGCGGTGTGAAAGACAGACGTGGGAGTGAAGGGACGAGGCTAAAGTTCGCTTCCTTTTCGAATTTCCCGTTCCACCTTAAATGGCGCAGCAGTTACATTCCCTCGCCTGGGTATATGCTGAACGTAACTGCTGCACCATTTAAGGTGGAACGGGAAATTCAAAAAGGAAGCTGGCGAATAACAAGCTAACTTCAACTGTGCACTCGGACAAGCGGTCGTTGATGGTCGCTTATTAATGAAGCTGCACACACTTTGGCTGCGTCCACAGCAACATACTGCTGCACCGCACTACAGTACTGGCTACATTAGTAGTGCACTACTAATGGTGGTGTACTGTTTCGGCACACTGCTTTGTATGGCAGTATGCTGGTTTGAAAACCGTAGCAGCAGCCTGTGAGAGGTTCTAACAGACTGGCGCGCAGTTGTGCTGGTCAGTAACCCCACCCAGGCAAACGGAGACACAGACAGCTACTTCAGATAATGTGTTGATATGTCGTGACAGAACTACAGACACCTTACACACCGACGGTGTGCTGAACCCAACGGCGGCACCGCTGTGCTCACTATAACGCTCCTCTGGCTACTTTCGCTCCGTGTTGTGGTGGGTTTACCTGCTCGCCCGGGCGCGTGTGAGGGGAGGAAATTCACCGCTTCGTGACTTTAAAACGAGACGGAACTTGTTCGCTAGCTCGGGCAAACCTGAGGTAAAAACGGTCTTACCTGGTCCCCGCCTTGTCGCCCATCTCCGGAGGCCTTTTTTTTCGATGCTAAAATGCAAAAACGGGTCTCTGTAAATCAACAAACTGGCTGGCACTTCGAGTAAAGCGTCCTGAGCCCCTCGTCAGTCTTTCGAGGCTTTGCCGTCCGGAATGATTTGCGCTCTCTCTGTCTCCCTCTCTCTCTTTCTCTCTCTCTCTCTCTCTCTCTCTCTCTTTCAGAGGGTAGTTTCCCGCAGCCCTGAGACGGAAACCTCTGTCAGTCTGTCTCTGCTGACAAGCGTGTAGGCCCCGCCCCCCCGCTGGCTGACTGACGGCGGCCCTGGCCAATCAGCGAAGCGAGAGGTATTTGCTTCATTGTGTCGTCACGCAGTTCGCCCTCCCCGCCGCTGGGATTACCAATTAGAAGTCTCTTAAAGGAGTAGGGTGTAGCGTGCAGTTCAGCTGAAGCCTCGTAGAAAAAGGGCTAAGTAACTGACTCACAGTCCTGGCACTTCAGCCTCTATTTACGTTTACTGTGCATGGAGTCGAAGTCTCATTTTCACATTTTTAGACGGCTTGTATTCCTAGTAGGGAGTGACGTTTGGAAATTCATAAGTACACAGTTAAGTACGCATTTCTGTAGCTGTTCCCACCATCGTATACTCAGACGGGTTGCCTGAAGCATGGGAATGTTTTTACTTTTGGGGATACAGTTTCCTTTTTTGTCCTGTGTATAATCGACACTAGTGGACGTTAATGAAAAGCAGATGTTAATCGCTACAAATAAACTATTGCTTTAAGTACACGGATAACATTTTACCAGAGACACAGCCGTGGCCTGAAATACTTTAAATGGCTTTAACGTTTTAAAGAAAGCAATCATTCCAATATAAGAAAGTTAATCTTCCCTCCTGATTCGTTATTACACAGATCCCATCTAATTCCTTTGATATAATTATGTAATAGGCCTATTAACTTGTCTTGTGACTGCAGACAGTTGAAGACACTGTCTTCTGCCATCTAGCGACTTGATATAGATAACGCATTCATATTTTTATTACTGGACCTACTCTAATTCTGCCCGTATGGTACAAAGTTGATCAAGAGCTTTACTCCAGAACAAAATATTATTTCCTGACATGATTCTGTATCGGAGTACACAGTATATCACAGGGACTCTCAGAAAAAAGGTACATAACTGTCACTGGGACAGTACCCCTCTTGTCATTGGGGTGGTATATCTCAGTATCTTTGGTCAGGGAACATAACTGTATCATAATCCATTGAAATGATATTTTCTTACTTGTATTGACTCCACACACCCTGTCTCGTCTCCAGGCTTTTTAATTTATTGTTCTGTTTTAAACATTAGGTTTTGAAAAGATACAAATACATACATTTCCACTGGGAAAAACCTATTTAAGGTACACAATTGGATCTAAACCCCTTAAAATCCCAGGAGTATTACTTACAAAGGCTTAATATTCAGTAACTACAAGGACTTCAGTGCATACTGACTGAGCTATTCGTAGATTACAGAAGTGTGTAATGAAACTTCAGGCTCGCTGGCAGGCCCTGGTCATTTTAGTGGTTAAAACCGCTGTTGTACCTTTGAGGGTATATTAACACTACCTTGATGAATAAAAAATGTACCTGCACAGTACCTTTATTCTAACAGTGTGCCTGGGTTTAAACTAGCAAATATCTTGCTATTACCACTAGTTTTCTTCAGTCATCTTATACAAGCTAGATATTTGTATGAAGTGTGAGTTTGAGTAGATCTTAAGTAGACCCTGTGACCTACAAATCATAAAAGAAGCATGTTTTTTTCAGTTAAATGTTATATTACATACACTTTTTGTTGATTTTCTAAGTCAAAAAAACAATAGTTAACATGTGAAAAGTTAGCACATCTTCTACCGGAAAAAACTTAAATATGACTTTTTCTGCAAAATTTTATTGTTCAATTACATATATTTAAAAAACATATGGGAGAAAAAACATAAAATATAGACTGTGCCATAACTTTTGCACAGGCCACATTTTATGTTTTATTTTTTCAGATTATGTTCAATTCAGCAAGTAAGCAGTAACTGTGCTTTAAAATGTGCAGAAGTGTTCTCTGTAGAGGATGTGTTATTTATTTATTTTATTTATTATGTATTTTAAGTGAACTTCACTTAGAAAATTACATGATTTGACCAGAGGCACCCACAGTTTTTCAGTAGGTGCACTTTGTAATTCTACAGTTGCAGATTGTCGTCTGTTTTTTGTGAGTATTTTCTTAGCCTCCTTTACCTCGTTCATCAATGGTCCGGACCCCACCCCCACAGAGCAGGTATTATTTGGGTGGTGGATCATTCTCAGAACTGCAGTGACACTGACATGGAAGTGTGTGTTGCACTGGCATAGGTGGATTAGACCCATCACTGTTGCTGGAGTTTCTAATCTATCCACCCACTGTTCGCTCTGTTACAGAAACCTACCTTGTTGGTGCACAGTTTGTGTTAGTCATCCTCTTATCCTTCATCAGTGGTCAGTTTCAGGCCACAGGACACTGTTGTCCTTTTACTTGTTGCTTGGTGAACTATTCTCAATTCAGCACTGATAGTGAGCTGTTTTAAAACTTCAGGAAAACAGTCACCAGCGTGTCAGTGTCATGTCAGTGTCACTGAGGTGCTGTATCTGATCCACCATCCAAATAATACCTGCTTTTTGGTGGTCCTGTGGGGGTCTTGACCATTGATGAATGGAGCAAAGGTGGGCTAATACATTATGTAAAGAAACAGACTGCAATCTGTTAAAAAAAAAAAGTACAAAGTGAGCCTGTACAGTAACTGGAGCTGATAAAATGAGCAATATTAGCAATATTAATGCTGTGTCCCACAGAAGATCATTCAGGATTATGGATTATTTCCTCATGTGTCATCCAGGTAACTAGTGCTCTCTCTCCAAAAATCTCATGCTGTTGTTTCTGGATTAGAAGTATGAACAAAAACTAAAAAACGATGATGCTTGTGGAGCTCAGGAGAGATTTTATATTTCATTTAGAGAGGTACTGATCTGGGTGTAAGACATCCATGCCTGCAAGCAAAGCCTGAGGCTAGGTAGAGCTTCTTGAAGGGTACTGCTTGGAGAACTTCTTAACCAAGGGTGTATTCTTTAACAGATGCAGAGTTAAACAACCATAGCATGCAAGTATTTTTGATTTAAAATCATTTAAATATTTTCATATTTGCTTACAATACTTGTAAAAAAAAAATACTTGAAAATGCATTTTTATTGATTTAGCATTGCTGAAGGCAGCCATATCCCTTAATCTGTCACCTTCCATAAGCTATTACCGCTCCAGAGTCCAATGCTGGCATGCTTTACACCACTTCAACTGATGCTTGGCATTATGCATTGTGATTTTTGGCTTGTGTGCAGCTGCTCAGCCATGGAAACCCATTTTATGCACTATGTGCTTCATCCTCAGCGGCCCCGCTCTGTGAGTTTTCATTTACTACTGCTTTGTGGCTGAGCTGTTGTTCTTAGATGCATCAATTTCACAATAGTAGCACTTACAGTTGACCTGGGCAGTTCTAGCAGGGGAGAAATGTCATGAAAGTGTCATCCTATGACAGTGCCTCTGAGCTCTTCAGTGTGAGCTCTTCTGTACGACCCATTCTACTGTCACCGTTTCTCTATGGAAATTGCATAGTTATGTGCTTGATTTTATACACCTGTTAGCAATGAGTGTGGCTGAAACACCTGAACTCAATAATTAGGAGGGGTGTCTACATACTTTTGCCCATATAGTGTATCTATCGGTCATCTCCTATGGCATGTAAGAATGAAACCCCAAAGAAATTGACTGTTATGTCTCCTTCTTGATCTTGCCAGATGCCTTCCTCACATTAAGAGCAATTAGACCTGTGATTTATAAACTCTCTAAAGGCAAGTCTCTACAGCAATAACACAGCTGATATTCAGCTCTCCTTAGGCTCCCTTTGTAAAACCATAAGCCGTACTATTTAAACCTCATTTAAATCTTCAGAAAACACCCAAACACAAACAGGAGCCAGACATCAGGAAGACAAGCAAAGACTAAAAGAGGATAGAGATAATCTAATCAGTCCATACAATGAGCTTCTGCGGTGTAATTAGATTAAATGCTTCCACATCACCCTGAGCGTGAACCCCTGACATCACTGGAGTAGACATACCATTAGCTAAATGTGCCAATGATGCTTACAAAAGCTTGGCCACCCCCCTACTGAGTGTAATAGTAGTGGTTAAAGGATTCCTGCTGGTATAAGTGAACAAGAACTAACCTTTTCTATTACAAGAGAAAATCTGTAGCAGTATGTTTGCCTTTTCATTTGACAGGTTGTTATTTCTAACCTCTTGGCTAATATATACATGGATGGATTGTTGTTGGCTCTTTGTTCAGTCAAAACATATTTTGTGACTATCAAACAATGTGAGGATTAAAATTTTCAAAATTCTGTTTTGTATTACAATATCTAACATCACACCTTGACAATTGTTGTTTATGGACAGTTAGTTATTCTGTGTGTTTTGGTTTAAATGGTTTGAGGAAAAGGCATGAAAAAAATTACACCATTATAAAAATTTAATCCGTTTAATTTCAAATGTAGCATCCTAAACATATAAAAAAGAAAATCTTAGATACAGATAAGTACAGATTTATCGTCAACAGTTGCACTTTCCCCTCACCTTCCGTTCAGGCGGAACGTGAGGCTCACACAACAGTTAATATTAAAAATGCACTTAGCTTAAAACATGCTAAAGAAAATCTTCCACATAGCTGTCGCCATCTCCTGTGCTCATAGCCCAAGAGGATTTTGGGGATGAGTTACTGTTCTGTGTAGCGTGTTAAACTACTTAGACTACATACCAAATATTTCCCAGCATGCACCACAGCAACAGTGTGCTGGCAGAAATCGTCCTTTTGTACTGAACTGAGAACCGTTTCACAGTTTCTCTTTTATGATTAAGTTTAGGACTGGAGGTCCCAGATCAGTACACAAGAGAAATTTCTAACGGGGACTGAAATCCGCATCACTTGCCCTAATACAGGTGCAGCGTGGAGGCTCCAATGTCACCTTGATACACACAACACTGAGCAGAGTAGCAAGAATCAAACTCTAGTCAATAATATACTGAGTTACATACAAGTTTAGACAACCCATTAAAAAAGAAAGACAAACAAAATCATAACGCGTTTATATGTGGCAGTGCTGCCACTTGTGTAAATGATCTGATATAGGCAATGAATGGAAGCAAATGGTAGTCAGGAAGACACTGGGTTGTCATGACGATACACACACACGCTAACCTGGAGGTAGGAAGCTGCTTCTGTTCTCACTCACAGTAACCGTCCTTTCCTCACAAACATCACAAATCGTTTCATGATCATCGAAAAATAATAAGTGATGCACCAAAGACCAACAGTGTATTCCTACTGCACTTTGTCCAGACAGAAAATTCAATAATAACAATGATAGCAATAATAATAATAATAATAATAAATTCTAGCTTAGACACTAAAAAAAAAAACAGTCTATTCGTCATCTTCATCCTCATCATCTTCCTCGTCATCGTCTTCCTCATCCTCATCCTCCTCGTCATCTTCGTCGTCCATGCTGCTCTTCATCATGGGTTTAGGGGCCATTCCCATCATGCCCATGCCCATACCTGTGCCCATATTCATTCCCATGCTCATGCCCATGCCACCAACCTTGCCCTTTGACTTGTAATCAGCAATGTCCTGCAAAAGAAGAATTTGTTTTGTTTAAAGCTGATGTTTTCTTGATAAGAATTTGTAACCCAATCTCTATCTACTGAATCTCTAGCATATGGTCAGTGACTACAGACAATCACTTTGATGCAATACCCTGTTTTTAGAAAATATCAGACTCCAAAAACACTTGCCTCAGTACCTGCTTTACCCTCTACTTTTAAGTGTGACTTGAATCACTGGGTTTCCTGGTGAAACTGTTGTCTGTGGTTATCAATCATATGTTACAGATGCGGCAGATAGAGATTAGACTGAAAAATGGTGGAAAATGCCTTTGTTTATTTATTTATTTCTTGCCTTGACAGGTAGTTATTTCAAACCTTTTCATGAATATAAATGTGGATGTATTTTTGTTGGCTCCTTATTCAATCAAAACAGATTTTGTGACTGCTACAACCAGTGTAAGGATTATAAACAGCACAATTATATTTTTGTTATAATAGTTAACATCACACCAGGACAATTATTGTTTATAGTTGGTTGGTTATTCTGTGCAATGTTTTGCTTTAAGTGGTTTGAGGAATCGGCATGAATAAAAATTGAATCTGTTCAATTCCAAAATCTTAGGTACAGATTGTCAACAACTGCACTTTCTCTTCACCTTCAGTTTAGCTGGAATGTGAGGCTCACACAACAGTCAATTTTAAAAATGTATTTAGTTTTGATTCAGTGGATTTTCTGTTTTTCTAATTACAGTGAAATTATTGTCTGTGCTACAGATGTGGCAGATGGACATTAAACTGAAAATACTGGAAAATGCCTTTGAAAACTCTCAATATAAAAACAATGCAACTTATGCTACTCTAAACTATTTAGTACTTTTATACAAGAGGTCAGTGTTGGTAGCTCTTATCAGATGATAAGTCTACATATTATATATTATGTACATACTGTGTCCTATTGAATTGTACTGACTTTTAACAGACCTTCCATAAACCTGTGCATCCCAATCCTGGTCCTACAGCCCCCCTGTCTTATACATTTTGGTGTTTTCCCTGCTCTACCACACCTGGGCCCATATTCACAAAATGTCTTAGGCAAAAGGTACTGATCTAGGATCTGTTCCCATCAGTGAGACTGTCGTAAATAACACATGAATCTGATAGATCAGCACTCCTCCTCTAAATGGTAAATAGAGTAGGAGTGCTTTGTAAATACAGGCCCTGATCCAACAAACTGCCTAGTTAAACCAGACTTCTGAATTTAAGTGGGTGCGTTCAAGCAGAGATAATATTGAAATGTGCAGGACAGGGGTTGGACATGGATTAAACCTAGTCCTGATCAGCACAGCACTCTGAATAGAGATTCTCTATTAAAATGAAAATGACTAACAAAGCTTAATCCCTGTCCAGGACACTGACCCATAGTATCATGCTATGTCAAACAATAATGACATTTTAATTTAGACAAATTATTTTAGTCACTGATCAGTTCTATTATCAGTAGGGATGCACAATGATATCTGAATCATTTCAATATCTGCAATTTTAAGATTTGGCCAAGATTTTAAATTGATATTTGATTATGTATTTATTGTAGTCCAGAAGAGCAGAACAGTTAGGCGATGGTGGTCTGCTGTGCTAAATATCTGCATTTTATTCATTTTAATGCATTTGTAAGGCTACAGAAATAAGTGTTATTGCTAATCTAGGTGAAGTTTCAGGCCCAATTTTTTATGTATCGGCATCGGCATCAGCAGATATATATGTGAAATATACATGATATGAGCACCAGCCCACAATTTCCATATCTAATCAGTGCTATAGCTATAACTGCATTGCAGCTGTGTATGAGTATACAGGGATTAGACATTACCTGCTGGTACTTGTCCTTTAATTTGTTGGATTTCATCACATAAGGCTGTTTGTGGGCATCTGTAAGGTTGTTCCACATCTCCCCAAGTTTCTTGGCCACCTCTCCAATACCCAGATGAGGATACTGGGCTTTGATTTTGGGACGATGCTCTGAGCAGAAGATGAAGAAGCCAGACCTACGGAATTATAAAAGACAATACACATACTTAATACTGTTTGTAAAGTGGTGATGCTTATTTAATCCATTTACTAGTCTGTTATGAATCTTATTATTATTCAGTAACTACTATAAATTATTACTACTATGAAACTAATACGCACGTTATGTAGTTATGAGAGTGAGAAACTGAAATGTCCGGGTCCCTGACAGTTTAAGAGTTTAAAAATACAGTGGTATAGCACTTGCTTTTAAAAACTGCACTAAGTTACAAAATGCCATACATACTGCTGTAATGAGGGAAACATAAATAATACAGCTCATTGGGTTTGTGCTAAAGGTGGAGTCTTACGGTGGTCTCTTTGGTGCATTGGGGTCCTTCTTTTTGCCTCTCTTGCCAGTGTAGTGCATCATCTCCTGATCATACCGCACTTTATCCTGCTTAGCCATGTCCTCAAACCTGGATTTCTCTTTTCCTGACATTGCCTACAGAAAGAAAAGGCAAAAGTCAAAACAGAAAATGGAAAATGTCCAGTTAGAGGTATGCTGTAACACACTTGGTGGCAACAGACAAAACAATTACAGAAATTTAGAGAGTTTTTCATTCTACCACCTTAACAGAACTGCACTAACAGTGTTAATGAAATGAAACAAGAACTAACCTTCCATCGCACTGAGCATTTTTTGGAGAATTCCGCAAAGTTGACTGGAATCTCGGGACTCTTCAGCTTGTGCTCCTCACGGCATGTCTGCACAAAGTAGGCATAAGCGGACATCTTGCCCTTGGGCTTCCTGGGGTCCCCTTTAGCCATTCTGGTGAGAAAAGGGGTGCTGGTGTCTGCTAGTCTTCTCTGGTTATTAGTGTTTACCTGGAGACACAAATAGCATAAATATACTATAAATAGTGACTTCATTCATCCATGAGCAGGAAAAATCGTCTCAGAGTCAAAAAATACATCTGTTTCTATGTGTTTAAGGCTAAAGAGATACTGAGCAGACACAAGAAAGGAAAGCCCATTAAAATTCTGTGTTGAGGTGATGCTTGTCATTTTGCAGAAGGCTGGACTAGCAGACCCTCCCTTACTGTGTGGGGGATGTGAACTGATTATTAATGAGACTGATTGTGGCTCAGTGTCCTATATTACGCATTCTTCATTAATATCTACATATATCTATTTTTTTTGGTGGAAAATTATATTTTTATTTGATGATTTAATATCTGTATGCTAACAAATTAAACATATTCACTGTGAATTGAAATATATTTTTATTTTTTTCTGTTTTCTTTGCTAATTATTATTATGGATGTTTGCCTTAAAGTTTGTGTAATGAGCCTAGGCTCAATGCTATTTGTGCCTTCGGGATAAAAAAAAAATATTCCGTTAAAATTTGGATATATTTTGCACCCCCGCCATGTTCTTTGGTCACCGCCGCCCAAAAAAACTAATTTTCTTTGTGCTGTTTTTTTTTCCTTCATCAGCCCAACTTTAACTGGTATTCTTGGCCGCTTCACTCTCAGTGCTCTACCGGAGCGTGTGGCTGAAATCAAGCGATGCTTTTAGCAAGATTCAGCCAACACAGCAACAGAAAGGTCATCAACACGAATTATTCATCTTCCATTTTGTGAAATGCGTCCTCATGAGAAAGAATGATATTTATTTTCGTCCACCTTTCACGCATTTTTGTATTTTCTCTCTGCGTCCCTTAGTTGCCCAGTTTAAAACTCCGTGTGAAATCTCTCGCTCTCAGTGCCGATATACAGCAGTATTCTTCAGCTACTGGCTCGGGCAGAGCAGCGCGGCTTGCTGTTTCTGCTCCCCATTCATTAAAATGGCTTCTGTAGGGGGAGCAGGAAGGCTGGGGCTGACTAACAAAGCCACGCACACCCCCTTCGTGTTTCAAGGACGATTTCTACAAACCTCGAGAGTTTAGTGTGAGAAAAACAACCTTATTCACTAAAGCAAATTCTCTATTTTTGGTTACCTAGACGTTTATACGCTGTCATTCCGGGTTTTAAGCCTATTTAGCTGTTTTGTAAAGTTGGAGCCCTAGCTGTCGCTTGGTGCATTGCCGCCTCTAACAAAGACTGTGCGCCAGCCATTTCCAATGCGAGTCTCTCTATCAAAACTGTCAAGTTCAAAAAGCTAATAATGCACAATATATCGTTTTAATTTTAACATGGGGAAGTAGAGATAGTCGTTTCGAGGCGAAAACGAAAAAGATCCGCATTTCCCGCTGACTAAATTATATTTTCTGTCTCAAAATCGCGACTCGGTCTTGCGCGTAGGAATAGCTTCTTGTCAGTGGTTTAAATCGCCAGCCATTTTAATACAGGGCAAGCGTGATCATTTAGGTACGATGCTGAAAAAAGGCAAACCCATACTTATATCCGTTACTTTGTCTTTTACTTTAGATGGTTAGATAGAGAGTAAAGAATGAAATCGAAAACGAATAATTTTCTTCAGAAAACACGTCATTACTAAAAGATGTCATCAAAATCGGCTCGCGCTGGAAGAAGGGCAGAGTGGTTCGTAGCCAGGACAGAGCCAGCCATATTCAGTGAGGGGAATCCGGACAAAAACACCTTAGAAATAACTTTTCATTACTCTATTGCAGGGAAAAACAGATATCAGACGGCAGATAGCGTCGCAGAATGCGGTTTACCATTTTACACGATCGAGCACAATGTAAAAATACAATTTATCTATTGTATACACATCTCCGCACAAATCTGGGAATACGTAGACACTGCATTAAAATATCGCTAGAAAACTGTATTTGTGTGCTAAACAGCAACTGCAAAGATATTTTATTTATGTATTTGTTTACCTTACCATTCCACCAAAATATTAAAAAGATAACAATATACAGTAATCATTTAACTCCAGCGTTAAAAACGTACACAATGTTTGAAAATGTGTACACCCAGAATCGGTGTGTCAGTTTACGCTGATAAAGCGTGGGCATTGGCTCGTACCTGTGTTGTTGAGTTGCCTGAAGTCTGTGCTCTGTCCTCCCTTCTCTCTGCTCTTATAAACCAGGCGCAGCCTCGCCAGCTCCATCCGAGACCGGCCTGATTGGTTAGTGGCCTCGTCCGTTCAAAACAACCTCCAATGCTGCTGATTGGCCTGCAGGTTACACACATCCAGCGATTCTCCGCTCGGATTGGTCTTGGCGTGGGGCTCGGCCCCGCCCCTTTCGCAGCCTGGCTGGAAAACTCACTAAAATAAACACAAAGTTGGAGAGTCTGGCAGTGTGGATTCACCACACATGCTCTTCCTTTCACTCTTGGCTCCTGCTTTCTCTGCTGATCGCGGGCTGGGCTTGTTATCATGCTGACAGGTGATATTACGGTCAGTGCTAATGCTTCTGGAGCCTCCAGACAAAGACACGTTTGGAGTAACTATCTGTATGGCAGGAGGTGTTTGCAGGTGCCCATTGAACATAAACCGGCTTGCAGATCTAGTTTAAGTGCAAAACATGCGTTTAGGGACGCACCTGTTTGTGGCTTGTTTGGTGAAATGAGCCTGCTGTACTGAAGTTCAGTGAGAATTTTTTGTATATTATACATCCTTATATTTGATATTATATTTGACTTTTCATGTTTTGTGGAACTCATGGAAACGTAATTGCAAATATAATGTAATAAAGCCTAATGTATACTGCAGTATGTTGGCAATATATTGCAATCACTAAATAAAATATTTAACGGTAGCCTATGTTTTCACTACTGCGGCATCTGCATAGAATACGATGCAGGAGAGGCCATTACTTCTGCCACGAGAAGTGCTCTTTTATTTAGACCAGCAAAAGAGGCACAATAAAAACAGCCAGGGAGAGAAGGCAGGTCATTTCTAGCCATATATGGTTTCACGTTATGGTATAGACAAACAAACCTACACAATTAACCCCACAGCCCAACGCACCATCAACACACACACATTTCAAACCACCAACATAAACAACAACACAGCAGCAAGGGGGTATTCCACAAAGCTAGACTTCTCAGTTAGCCAGATAGATCTGGCCCAAAGATCGAATGCTCCTTAGCTCTTTTCCTATTGGACAAGCTCGATTTTGGACTTAAGTTATCTGGCTAAACTGAGAAATCTTGCTCTGTGAAATACCCCCCTGCAAATGGAGTAGGTGGCGTAATTGCACACCACGCCCTCTAAGCTCCTCTTGAAATGTGGAGCGTATGTCGAATGCCCCAATATATTGCCTCTTTGTATAGGATGTCTATGTGCCTTTTTGCAATCCATTGAAAGTGAAATCAGGCTCGTTAGTAGGCAGGGATGGATTGCTGACTGGGCCAGTGCCCAGGGGCCTCTGGCTGCCAGGGACCTTGAGGTGCTTCAGACCAGAAGACCCGAGGCAGCTCAGAGACTGGGGACAATCCACTGCATAAGCAAAACATTAGATGAATGTTAGGCCTTGAATATGTAATGTCTAAAAGCTAAAAGCTAAATAAAGCTAAAAGCTAAAAGCTATATAAAAGCTTATCAGTCCACCATATTTGAAACAATTAAACCAAACATTTACAGAATTATAACTATGTGGGAAAAATAGGCAATTGCACAACTGTGCTTGTTTACATTTTGTTTTATTGCTGTTTAAAGCACATTTAAATAAATACAATCTGTTTAGTTATTTTTCAGGGTTTTTTTTCATTATTTCTTTTGCTTTATTGCATATTGTGGGGGGGCCTTCAAAGATGCTTGTGCCCAGGGTCCTTGAGACCATGATTGCTAATAGGGCTGAAATAAAATACTGTTAGCCTTTGTTCATAGACTTAACTTAAATCCTTTCTAGATTTGGCCTCTTATCTACTCTTTCAATTAGTTGTTCCTATAGCTCCTGAGCTCATGCACATATGGCACAATTTTGAATTGCTGTACTGATCTCTGTGTGAATCAGTGTGAGTCAGCACACGTTTCCCCATATGATGTAGTGACACAAATCCCAGAGTGCAGCACCCTCTGTCACCAACCAAAATCTCCAAAAACTCTACAAAACCTTGTCCTAAAGAGCATATTATGATTCAGGGCCAATCTGATATAGATTGTCTAGTCTGCTGTAACAAATTGATTGTTGTTTATCTAACACCATGTTTTATGTATTTTTGCTAAATTTAGAAGAATAAAACTGCCACTAGGTGCCAACCTCGGATCATTTTCTCCATTCCATAGCCTCATTATGTGTAGTATATGTTCCCTTGTACTTATCAGTTTACTTCTCAAAGTCTTGTAAGATAGAGGATAGTGATTTGTTAACATGTCATCTAAGCATGATAACTTCTAAATATCAATGTGGTTGCATTTCAGGACATGTCTGAGACATGAACGAAAGCTGTTAAGCTAGTGATGCATTCTTTGTAATTGGACATTTATTAATTTAAAATTAAAATTAAAGGGCTATACCAATCAAATAGGTCCTTTCGGTAAAGGAATTAATACACTTTTCTGTTATTGAACATCCAGATTCATGTTCCTGCTCCAAATGTCTTGACAGAATTCTAGCTGAGTCACTGAGGTCACTGCTGCAACTGTATTTATGTGTTTAGATCAGCACAGAGAGGCTCAATATTGGTCCAAGCCAATAACCATCTCTGCTGGGCAGAGCAGCATGAGGCGGCTGGAGAATAGATGATTCTTGGCCTTGGGCTGCAGCCATTACATGCATTTTTATTGAAAAGGACATCCAAAACATTAGGACAGAAAAACCAAAGCAAAGATGAAGAAACAAAGGTACAAAAGCAGCTGATAGAATTTCTCCAGCTCGCTTGCACACTGAGCGATACTGGACCATGATTAGTTCCAGTTTATTGTATTTAGGTGAGTGGGTAGAACAATTATAACACTTGTAACAGTTGTGTACAGATTATGACATTGATAATGTGAGCCAACCAAGTACACACATGCTACATTTTGAATGCTGTGTGCATGTGATGGGCTACGTTTCATATCAGTGAGGTCATTAAGCTCACAGAGTGCAAACTCTGGGTACAGATCATATAAGCATCGTTACTGTCTCTCTCATCTGTTAATTACATATATTAAAAAACAAAACAGTCAACCATTGGCTGATTTAAATGTAAAGAAATTGGAATCAGGTATGACAGTTCATGACTGGTGGGTGCACCCTGTAACATCCTTGCTCTGTTTCAGTCTGTATTTGCCTTTGTTTACCTTCGCTCCTGGTCTAGCCATGTGCTTTTGTTGTTGTTTTTGTTCATGTCTCCTCCCCTGTCCTGCTTTTTTGTTGTCTGTCTCACCCATGTGTCGCCTATAGCCCCGGCCTCACTTTATTCCCAGGTGTTTCTTGTTTGTTCTCAGTGTATTTTTACCCCTGTGTTTTTTCAGTCTTTTTGTCTTGCATTGCCTTTGTGACCTATTTGTTGCTGTTGCCAGTTTCTAGGTTTATTTTGCTGTGTTGTAGGTTTTGCTTTTAGTTTGTCTTCTGGTGTTTAAGAATCAGCGCACAGTGTGTAGCAAACACGCTTATTAGTAGTGTTGTTGTACTTGAGTCCAGTTTTGGTCCAGATCATAAATGAACGGTCTTCATCTTTTTTTAATCGCAACAGAAAATTTGGACTCAGTAATGTCTTAGTCTCAGTGTATGGTATACTTGGAATCCTCTGCTTGAGGTAGCTGGAAAATGAACTTTTTTCTATAATTACTGAATATTAACAATAACGTCAAACAAAATAAAACATTTTTCTGCATGTTTAATTAAAACCTGTTCGCCGCTGGTTTAGAATCCAACCGATCCTTTCCATGATGACTCTCCATGATGACTCAATCAATCAATGTGATCAGTTATTAATCTCAGTGTTACTAATCTCAGTGTTACAGAGCTCTGCTAAAGCCTGAGTAAACTGATAAATCAATAAGAAGATCAGTTATTAATCTCAACATAACTGAGCTCGGTTAAAGCCTGAGTAAACTGATAAATCAGTGTGATCAGCTATTAATCTCAGTGTTACTGAGCTCTGCTAAAGCCTGAGTAGACTGATAAATCAATGTGATCAGTTATTAATCTCAGTTTTACTAAGCTCTGCTAAAGCCTGAGTAAACTGATAAATCAGTGTGATCAGCTACTGATCTGTGTAAAGTAAACTGATGAATCAGTGTGATCAGCTATTAATCTCAGTGTTACTGAGCTCTGCTAAAGCCTGAGTAGACTGATGAATCAGTGTGATCTGCTACTAATCTCAGTGTTACTGAGCTCTGCTAAAGCCTGAGTAGACCGATGAATCAGTGTGATGATGAGTTATTAATCTCATTGTTACTGAGCTCTGCTAAAGCCTGAGTAGACTGATGAATCAATGTGATCAGCTATTAATCTCAGTGTTACTGAGCTCTGCTAAAGCCTGAGTAGACTGATGAATCAGTGTGATCAGCTATTAATCTCAGTGTTACTGAGCTCTGCTAAAGCCTGAGTAGACCGATGAATCAGTGTGATGATGAGTTATTAATCTCATTGTTACTGAGCTCTGCTAAAGCCTGAGTAGACTGATGAATCAATGTGATCAGCTATTAATCTCAGTGTTACTGAGCTCTGTTAAAGTCTGCGTAGACTGATAAATCAATGTGATCAGTTATTGATCTGTGTTACAGAGCTCTGCTAAAGCCTGAGTAAACTGACAAATCAGTGTGATCAGTTATTAATTTGTGTTACTGAGCTCTGCTAAAGCCTGAATAGACTAATGAATCAGTGTGATCATTTATTAATCTCAGTTTTACTAAGCTCTGCTAAAGCCTGAGTAAACTGATAATTCAATGTGATCAGTTATTGATCTCAGTGTTACTAAGCTCTGCTAAAACCTGCGTAAACTGATAAATCAGTGTAATCAGCTATTGACCATAGTGTTACTGAGCTCAGCTAATGCCTGAGTAGACTGATAAATCAATGTGATCAGTTATTGATCTCAGTGTTACTAAGCTCTGCTAAAACCTGCGTAAACTGATAAATCAGTGTAATCAGCTATTGACCATAGTGTTACTGAGCTCTGCTAAAGCCTGAGTAAACTGATGAATCAATGTGATCAGCTATTAATCTCAGTGTTACCGAGCTCTGCTAAAGCCTAAGAAGACTGATGAATCAGTGTGATGATCAGTTATTAATCTCAGTGTTACAGAGCTCTGCTAAAGCCTGAGTAAACTGATGAATCAATGTGATCAGCTATTAATCTCAGTGTTACTGAGCTCTGCTAAAGCCTGAGTAGACTGATAAATCAGTGTGATCAGCTACTAATCTCAGTGTTACTGAGCTCTGCTAAAGCCTGAGTAGGCTGATGAATCAGTGTGATCAGCTATTAATCTCAGTGTTACTGAGCTCTGCTAAAGCCTGAGTAGACTGATAAATCAATGTGATCAGTTATTAATCTAGTGTTACTGAGCTCTGCTAAAGCCTGAGTAGACTGATGAATCAGTGTGATCAGCTATTTATCTCAGTGTTACTGAGCTCTGCTAAAGCCTGAGTAGGCTGATAAATCAGTGTGATCAGCTATTCATCTAGAGTTACTGAGCTCTGCTAAAGCCTGAGTAGACTGATGAATCAGTGTGGTCAGCTATTAATCTCAGTGTTACTGAGCTCTGCTAAAGCCTGAGTAGACTGATAAATCAATTTGATCAGCTATTAATCTCAGTGTTACTGAACTCTGCTAAAGCCTGAATAGACGGATGAATCAGTGTGGTCAGCTATTAATCTCAGTGTTACTGAGCTCTGCTAAAGCCTGAGTAGACTGATAAATCAATGTGATCAGCTATTAATCTCAGTGTTACTGAACTCTGCTAAAGCCTGAATAGACGGATGAATCAGTGTGGTCAGCTATTAATCTCAGTGTTACTGAGCTCTGCTAAAGCCTGAGTAGACGTGATGAATCAGTGTGGTCAGCTACTAATCTAGTGTTACTGAGCTCTGCTAAAGCCTGAGTAGACTGATGAATCAGTGTGATCAGCTATTAATCTCAGTGTTACTGAGCTCTGCTAAAGCCTGAGTAGACTGATAAATCAATGTGATCAGTTATTAATCTACTGTTACTGACCTTTGCTAAAGCCTGAGTAGACTGATAAATCAGTGTGATCAGCTATTAATCTAGAGTTACTGAGCTCTTCTAAAGCCTGAGTAGGCTGATGAATCAGTGTGATCAGCTATTAATCTCAGTGTTACTGAGCTCTGCTAAAGCCTGAGTAGGCTGATAAATCAATGTGATCAGTTATTGATCTCAGTGTTACAGAGCTCTGCTAAAGCCTAAGTAGGTTGATAAATCAATGTGATCAGCTACTGATGTCAGTGTTACTGAGCTCTGCTAAAGCCTGAGTAGACTGATGAATCAGTGTGATCAGCTATTAATCTCAGTGTTACTGAGCTCTGCTAAAGCCTGAGTAGGCTGATGAATCAGTGTGATCAGCTATTAATCTCAGTGTTACTGAACTCTGCTAAAGCCGGAGTAGACTGATGAATCAATGTGATCAGCTATTAATCTCAGTGTTACTGAGCTCTGTTAAAGTCTGCTTAGACTGATAAATCAATGTGATCAGTTATTGATCTGTGTTACAGAGCTCTGCTAAAGCCTGAGTAAACTGACAAATCAGTGTGATCAGTTATTAATTTGTGTTACTGAGCTCTGCTAAAGCCTAAGTAGGCTGATAAAACAATGTGATCAGCTACTGATATTGGTGTTACTGAGCTCTGCTAAAGCCTGAGCAGACTGATAAATCAATGTGATCAGTTATTGATCTCAGTGTTACTAAGCTCTGCTAAAACCCGCGTAAACTGATAAATCAGTGTAATCAGCTATTGACCATAGTGTTACTGAGCTCTGCTAAAGCCTGAGTAAACTGATGAATCAGTGTGATCAGCTATTAATCTAGTGTTACTGAGCTCTGCTAAAGATTGAGTAGGCTGATGAATCAATGTGATCAGCTATTAATGTCAGTGTTACTGAGCTCTGCTAAAGCCTGAGTAAACTGATGAATCAATGTGATCAGCTATTAATCTCAGTGTTACTGAGATCTGCTAAAGCCTGAGTAGGCTGATAGATCAATGCGATCAGCTATTAATCTTAGTGAAACTAAACTCTGCTAAATCTTAGTGAAGTTGAGATTCAAGTGAATTTTTCATGAAACATATTAAAGGTCCGACAATACTACAGTTTTGTTGTATTTTCATCTATGGCTTGCGGTCTGTGTATGATGTTTGTGTGGTTTTATCTACTGAAAACATTCATAATTTATTTTCAAATGACCATTTTCTAACATCAGACTGTTTTGTTACCATGCCTTTAAGAGTGATATCACTGTCCAAAAAAAGAAAAGAAAAAAGAAAAACAAGTATCTCAAATTTTTCTATTTTTTTTTATACTCACATTAAAAGTAAAGTGGAGATTCTTGTATTCGTTTTGGACAGTAACAATAAGTAAACACAACAGAGCTCTTTCCCATGCACCTTATCAACAGGTATGGATGGGTGTTTTGCACTCTGTTTGTAATTACAATAGACATTATTTATTTATATTATTTACTTTTAGAATCCCCAGTGTTGTCACTGTGGAAGGGTAAATGCACTACATGCCCATAGATGTGTAGACACACCACAGTTCTTCTGAAGTCAAGGGTATTAACAGGGAGTTTGTCCCCCTTTACTGCAGTAACAGTATCTACTGTTCTGGGAAGGCATTACACTAGATGTTGAAACATTGCTGTGAGGATCTGATTGCATTCAGACACACAAAAGCATTAGTGTAGTCTTGTACATGAATGATGAGTTCTGGATCACGAATGCTACTCCAACTCACCCCAAAGGTATTGGATGGTGTTCCCTCACATCTGAGAACACAATTCCATTGCTCCACAGCTCAGTGCTGGGAGGCTTTATACCCCTCTAGCGACACTTGGCATTGAGAATGGTGACTGCTTCATTGATTCCTATTCTATTGGCAATATTTTTGTAGAGATTATACAAGGTGTGTGCACTACTGAACGCTTAGGTCAGCGTTAAGTGACCTTAAAAGCTGAATAGCTGAATTCACTAATTGGAAGAGATACCCTGGCTATATCTTTTAGCACAATTACGAAAACAAACATTATGAGATTGCCATTCAGTTTCTACATTTGTAGGCTTGGACATAATTAGAAGAGAACACTTCATGCTGCCATTTGGCCATAGAGATGCTTGATACACTGGTAATCACGAATTGAGGCCAATCAAGAACCTGAAATCCAGTTAGAGGATTCTCTCTGCACTGTTAAGAACTCAAGAACCGCTCATGATGCACTGACCAAGAAGCCAACGTATATAAATGGCAGCCTCTGGAAGATGGCTTGGACTGATTTCTCTGTCACTGTTTTTAAAGTTATCTGCTCTAGCATGACCTTAAAAAGCTCATTTATGGCAAACTGTTTTCATCACTTTAATGAAATAAGACATGTAAAGATGTAGCATGCAAACATTGTTAAAAGTGTTTACATACTACATAGCCTACTGCCATTTACTTCTTGCTCCACACAGTCCACATGTAGGAACTAAGCTGCCATGAAAGCAACTCGTTTTAAATTAACTCTTTTTGTGATGTCATGCATTTACTTATATCCACTTTAGCCCCGTGCATTCATATTGAAGTTATAAGTAGTGTTTTGGGCTGGCCTTCTTTTTGAATGGCGCGCAATACAAACACAGGCAGCCTATCAGAACAGAGCTCAGTCACTTGTATAAAGTGCATAACAAGTAAACGTAAAAAAGAATTATTTCTGATTTGGTACATAAACCCACACAAATATCATAAGTAAATAAAAAAATGCAGGGTATAGGATCTTTAACTAAGGTGTCGTGTGTGTCAGTATTGACTGGAGGTCAAGTTACTTAAGTCACTTAATTATTTAAAGTTACACGAACGTGGTGGATTGTGTGGATTGCTTAATGTCTGGAAAAAAGGTCATTCTCTGAGGAAAGGAGAAATGCAAGCAGACACACTGAGCCCCGGGACACGTGTTCTGAGTGCGTTTACCTCTATAAAGAAGCATTTAGACACTGAATTCTTCAACAGCGAGCATTTTGGCAAATCTTCTAATAAGCGACAAACGCGTCAACCACAACATCCGCTATATGTGAGAGGCACGCGCTCTACCGCACTGTGGTACATCTGAGAAACGAGGCTTAGTGACAGTTTATCCACAACACATGAACAATTCATCATGCTGTTGCTTGTATTAAATTGATATTATCGTAATATTGCTTGGTTGCAGCCTAATGTGCCTTAAAGCAGAGTTGGTGAGCAAAAGGAACCGCCCAAAGCTGTGAATGTGACCCCCCCACCCCCCTCCTCTGTAAGCCACTCTCTCTCCGCCTCTCTCACTCTCTCTCTCTTCGCACTGCAGACTTTGTTGCAGCGGTTTGTAGTCACTGTCTGCGTTCACCACAGCAGGCCTTCCACTACGTATCATTTACAGTGTCTGTAGGCCGGAGTGAGGACAGTTTTAAAGAAATAACGGTCCGCGTTAAGGTTTGGCCTCAATCCTGTTAGTGTGAACGCGCGTGATTTTCAGCCATGAGGACACTCTCGTCGGCGGCGTGGACGCTCCTAGCACTCTTCTCTCTGTTAGCAGTGAAAGGTAAGCTCAGCCCTTCGACCCTCTTTGTTGAAACCCTGTAGGTCATGCCTACTTCATCATTTTCCTTTCTCTCGACCACCGGAGTGTCTGTAATCTTTTTACCACGTTAACGTCTGAAATGTTCATGTCTCAGTGTCAGGTTTGTCTCTTACAGGCTGCTTTGTTAACTGAACATTTGTGAAATGTTACAGCCGTTTTTCAGCCGTTTGGTAAAGACTAGTTAGCTCTGCTCTGTCTGTCCACACCGGTTGATACAAAGCTGTACAGGTTGCATCGTTTTTCTCGACAAAAAAGCAAAATTTGAATCCTTTTTTACTGCTGTACCCCCATGTCGACTGCAGTGGGTTGTGTGAGGTGAATATTGTAATTTGCTGTGTAATATGTACATATTTGAGAGGCGCAGGTCTAACGTTCAGCATATTGATGAGGACGGCTGTTGGGGCATATTGCAGAGTCCTGCAGCAGAATGTGTTTTACTAGCTATGTTTAATCTGTGCCGGTAGTATTTTGTCTTCCAAAAAAAGGACTGACTGCCTCTCAGAATTTTTAAATCACCTGCGTTGAGATTTATATGAACAAAATACATTTATTTAGGTGTGGCACGAGTCACTGAAAAAGCAGCCATATATTCATAACATTATGTAGGCTACTAGTCTAGCAAGAATAGGCTTCCTTCCCCCCAAACCAGAGCATTCATGATTTTCCAGGTATTATGCTGTTGCTGTCAATCAGATGCTTCGAACTCATTTCAGTTCCTCCTCAAATTTAAAGTAAAAATGATCTAATGTCTCAAAATAGCACAATTTAAGCTGCACAAAATCCGCTCCGTTGAAACACATCCATATAAGAATGGCAGTATTGTCCAGTCCTGTGTTGTGCCCAGAACCGCCCAGGTGGACGGTGGAGCATGAACTGAGAACGCATGCGCCTACTGTGGCAGAACAAGCCCAGGTACAGCATGGGTGCAGTTTTTTGGAGACTGCGGAATATGGGGAGATACCATCGCTTTTAACATGGGGTGGTGGGCCAATATACAAAGTGCATCTTTGCAAGGGCAGAAAGTTTCTCAAAGGTGTTTTTTAAGTTTGTAAAGTATCTGTTTAGCCAAGTCCTAAAGTATTGGGTTGTGTGATTGAGTGAAATTTGTCTGATTAGTGTTCTTCTGATGTTAATGTTGAGCCATGATGCAGCAGTAGTGTGCCCCCTTTTTCTTGCTGTAGTCTGCCCACCAAAAAAAGGTTCCAGCTAAATGAGTAGCTGGATCCAGTGTGAGGACTCAGCTGTGTTTCTGGCATGAACCGGCACACTCCCTCCTCTGCTCCTTCAGCCACACCCTCTGTTGTGTATGTAATTAGATCCATGCTTGTAGCCATGTGCTTAATGCTCCGGTACCGAATAATTCATTACTTATGCATGGGCGTGTAACAGTCATCTGTGTTGCCTGGTTTCAGGTGTGTTTTGCTGTCAGGATTCCCTATGAGACTCTGGTCTACTGTGTGACAACAAGAACAGGCCCTTATTGCAAATCAGAATTTAGCTTTTAGCAAGGAGATTTAAGAGCTGGGGGGGGCCACATGTCATTCATCGATGGGTGGCTACAATGTGGTATCAGTATAGCTATAGTTATGCATTATTAAATGGAGTTATGGAATTATATGCATTGCTTTTGAGATTAGAATTGGCTTTAATCCTTATATAGATGGTAGCTAGGTTTCCATTCACAACGTTTTATGGGCATTTTGAAATATCGAATTAAAAAGAATTGAAATAAATGGCAAATGATTAAACCTCTTGTAAAAAAAAATGGTTCGATCACTTGAATTGGATACATTTTTTTGCCAGTAATAAAGAAAAGGGATAAATTCTGATGGAATTGCATTTGATGAAAAAAATTCTGTGAATGGAAATAAAAAAAGATCACATGACTCAGGCGTTTTCATTCGTAGCTATAAAACAAGACAAAAGGCAGGTAACAGCCTACTAATGCAGAAATTAAGACACCTTTATCTAAATAAAAAAAAAAAATGTTTTAGACACAACATTGTTATATTTGCCAGAATGTTTTGTTTTTGCATTCTTTTTCATTATCTATTTATTTATTGCTATTTTTATTATTTATAAAACACATCTGCCCTTTAGATTATGTGAAAATTTCCTGACAGAAATGATCCAAAATGACTGGAATATGAATTTTGTTACATTAACTTTAAGGCTCGGTTTCTCAGACAGAGACCAAGTTTTGTCCTAGGACTAGATATTTCTTTCAGTAGAGAATTTCCATACAGAATGCTGTGTCTTCCAGGACTTAAAGGCTTAATCCCGGCACTGGGAACTGAGCCAAGAAAAAAGTTAAAGGTTTACCAATGAAAATAGACATGCACAAAGATATGAGAGTCATGTTTTATTAGTAGTTTGTTGCATTAAAAAAAGTCTGCATCTGGCAGATTTGACCAATATTTCAAACCCTTGTTTTGATGATGTCATTATTGTACTTCGGAAAAGCAGAATGTTTAGGCAACGCTGGGCTACAGTGCTAAAATTTCTGCACCTTATTCATTTTTATTCAAATGTTATATTTCTCTGTTAAGCTGATACAGGTACATACAGTTCCAGTTTCTACCTTTTATAAAGGTTTACGTTTCTGCATAGGTATATATGTACAAGAAAAATATTGTTGTCATCTGCCCAAAATTCCCTTATTGGTGGGCTCTTCATTTAAAAAAAATAAAAACATTTTATGCTTCTTCTGAAAAAGGCTTATATTTTTAACCCCTGATTTCAGCCCACTGTGAGTTGGCTGCACAAAAGAATGGATTAATGTTACTTTATTTATATTAGGGTAAACGAATCAGTGTTTCTGATTTGTGATGAGAGGTAAGCTAAATCACATGTGCTTGGTCACATGACTCGGTGGCATTATGCTGAGCTGGCCTGGCAGTGGTGCAGCGGCCGGCTGGTGTTTTTAGTGCTGTTACTAAATCTGGCACAGTCTGCAGAAGCCTATCCAGGCTACATGGTGAGAGAGAGAGAGACATTGACATACTAGACAGAGAGTTAGAAAAGAGTCTTTGTGCAGTTGACCTACTCTGAGATTACTCTAGAACTAGTCATCACATAAGTGAAGAAAATGACTGTCACTGACCCTCAGAACTAAAAAATACACATTGGAACCCTAGTTAAGCATAGATGCTGTTTGAGTTGCAGTGAACTCATCAGTGAAATGTGAAGTATATAATAGTGAGAGAACTACTCGCACAAATATAACTAAAAGCCAGTGCGCCCATTCTGTGTGTCCTTTCTCAGACAGTTGCTAGGGAGAAGTCCTGTCTTACACTACAAGCTTTTTAATCCACCAAAATGACACAAAAGGAAAAATCCTCTGGGAAATATCTTCCTTCTGAGCTCTGTGGACTACAAAAGATTTTTTGTTCTTGTGTACTATGCATATGCAGAGACAAGCTGTCATTTTCCAGGCTCTGTTGATATCCAGAGTGGCTGGAATGTGTTTGTAGTGTTGTGGAATTTGTGTCTTAACAAGAGTGCTTGAAGACAGCAGGAGGCTGAGTACTCCTCTACTCCTGCTCCATACCATGACATTTTAAAGCTGGCAGCCATTCTACAGTACTGTACACAAATGCAAACACATCATGTACCTGTTTTTCAACTGAATTTGAAGTATGTCTCAATGCACATTCATGAAGGAAATGCAGTGGCAAATACATGATTGAATTAAACCTCTAAAAGACGTTTGATTTTTTTGCAAATGCCTGAAAGATGCTGACTTATTAGGATAGCTCTGTAGGTCAGACCCTTTTTGCAGTCTGTTTGCAATTGCATTTTCATTGTCAGCAAGGTAAGACTGTCACTCAAAAACTGTTGGTCTGACTTTGGGATAGATGTTTTAGTTTCTATGACTATTATTAATCAGATAACAGACTAATACAGCTGTATGAACATTAGACAAAATGTGAAGTCACTAATGATTACTTTGAGCTTTATAAAATAAAGAATGAGATTTTCGGGTTAAAAAAATTACATATTTTGAAATACAGTAAATTTCAGGCTCCCCTGGTTAAATTATAATCTTTGTGGATTTTGTGAGTGAAAGTTAACACATCCCTTTACAGAGAGCACACTCCTGCACATTTTGATATACAATTACAGTTTATTTACTGAATTTAATAAAATGGGAAAAACACAATGCTGCTTTTGCAAAGGTTATGGCACATTTTATATTGTATGTTTTATTTTTGTAATGTGTTGAATTCAGCAAATAAATAGAAATTGTTCACTAACATTTGCAGAAAAATGCAATATTTAAGTTTTTCTTGTTAACTTATTTTCACTTAGAAAATCAACAGGGTGTTCAATCCTTTTCATACAAGTGTACATTTATGTGTATTCTTGTTTGGGATGATTTTCTATTTCAGATTAGGTTTCCAGTATTGTGTCTATTTTATAGTATGTATTAAAAAGTTGTCATCCTCTGTCTTTTAGGTCTAGGGCAGGATTTGGACCTGTTGGATGCTTTGGATGACTTGGCGGCCACTCGTAAGTAAAACCTAGCACAGCAAGCTCCTTTCCATCTGCAAGAACTTTTCTCATAAACATTTTTGTAGGCCTGACTAAGCCACAATAATCCAGATCCTAGAATCTGGCCAGCACTGACTTCAGCTGTGTTGTTTTCCTCAGCTACTCCTAAGCCCAAACCAAAGGAGCCAGCTGGAGGAGCAGGAACAGGGGGAGGTAATTGCTACAGTGTGACATTACTTTTAGCAGATAAATTATTGTTCCAGTTTACATTGTAGTTACTCATTACATGCTAACAAGCATTTACACACCCTGACGAACTGACCTATCTATGCTTCCTTTCTTTTTAGAAACTGTTGCAAGATAGTAAGAACAGTCATTACACCATTCAACCTAAAGGGAAATTGTAGTGCATGTGTAGCATTTTTTTGTCAAAATGCCTAATTAAAGAATGAGTTAATTATTTCAGACAGTGAAAGGTCACACTATTAGTAGAGATTGTATATAATGTTTTTGTCATACAGTCAAGCTAACATTAGCATGGTGGCAAATTCAGCATAATTTCCAACCTGCCTAATTTTGATCAGCTACAACATCGTTCAGCTCAGAGACTCTGAACAAACACTAGTGGTCTGGTGTGAATAATTTACTTGTATTGACAAAAACTGAGCTACAGTTTCTAATTTCTGCCAGAATTTAATACAGCTCGTCTAACCTTGCAAAAGTTGCTACAAAAGAAAGCGTTTGTGATCAGAGCATGGCTGGCTCAGTTGAACAGTCTGTCCTCTATATAGCCAGATAACTGATAAATGATGTTACTCACTCCAATTTCTAACATAGTGCTTTGTGTTGCTCTGCAGACTTGGACCTTTCAGACTTTTTTGATGATAAACCTACCCCAAAGCCTCCTGTCCAACCAAAAGTCCCAGTCAAGCCCAAGCCCAAACCAGGTAAGAGTCAATTGTTCCAAACCCGGTTTCTTTAGGTCTTGTTTCAGATGGACCCGTCTTTCTAATGCACACTCCTATGCTTCTCTTTAAGCCTAGCTTGTGGTAACTCATGCATGTTGAGGCAATGCTTAAATCAGTAGCCACCATTGCTCTCGGATTCAAAAGCTGCTCACTTAAGTTGTGAAGGCTGAACATGTTCTGCAGAAATCAGTGCGCTGCCTTGTTAAAGAGACAGCTCGTAGTCCTCAGGGTCGTCGTTTGCGCTATCTGCTGGCACATAGTGATTTTCTATGGTCTCATTTTGAGTAGGGCTGCAGCACATGCTTGCCGATAAACCTGTGACCCATTGCTCAAAAGTACTTGATAGAGACCAAGGGGCGTTCTATACAAATGGATTCCTGGGTTGGTGGACAGATTGGTTTAATGTAAGGTAGTCTTTAGCATGGTGGAAAATCATTTTTAAGGGGCAGTTTTTGCTCTTATTGACTACACAACTTGGGATACTGGTGAAATATACAAAATACAGTAATTGAATCAGAATACAGACAAGAGATTTAATCTTATCAGCAGAAAGTTTACAAATTAAGCAGCATATTTTGAATTTCCTTTCTGTTTTATTGGGGGGGGGAGGATTGAAACAACAGTAACACATTCTTTTAGTTTTACTTACAAAGGAGGATAAAAGCTAGCTAACTTACCCAATTATAAATAATAGGGCCTGACTGATATGAGCATTATGTGGCTAATACCGATACTAATTTTAACCAATACCAGCAACCGAATAATATTGGCCAAAATAATATGTTGCAGAGGTTGATTTCACAATAGTTACAGTATAATGCATTCCTGATGGATATGATTGTCAGTTCTCAGTTGTCAGATTTCAGGAACTCAGTCTTAAATAATATAAACATTGTAGCAGTGAGATTAAACTGCTCAGAATACTTTGCAATTTTGTTTAACTTGTTAGTCTCATGATAGGTCTGGATGCTTTTGAAATGTTGACCAGATTTTGCCCTGTTGTCTGGACATTGTGAGTTATAAATTCAGTTATTCCACAACCAAAAAAAAAGACTTGTCAGGGTCTTATCAGTAAAATGTCTCTTGATATTAATAAGCTGTTAAGTTGACAAGCTGTGAATAGCAGCTAATATTACTGGCCGCCCGATATATATCGGTCCGACTTGCCAAAGAGTAATGGCATCAGTACATGGATTGTATTTTATCAATACCTGTTTCAGTCAAGAGGCAGCGTAACTTTCATTCCTCAATGTTAGATTGACTAACTATTTAACTTAAACAAATTTAGCCTGGTGGTGAATGCCTTTGGATTATGACATTGTCGTTTGTAGCAGCTTCTTGTATTAGGTAACCAGCCATTGTGTATGAGCGTGTTTTTGCTGTCAAGTCAAGATTTGAGAGTAAAGGGATACAATATGTGGACCTTAAAATGATGGATAAAAAAGCCTGTGCAAATTCTGCACGTGTTAGGAGAATGACTTTTACCTGCTGTTTTTCTTTTAAAGTTTTTAAGGAGCATGGTGGAAAAATACATCATTTTAAGTTTTTAAAGACCTTTACTGATTGTAAAGTGCTTTTTGTGCATGCTGTGCTATAACAAACCTGCCCTGTTTCTACCTTCTGAATGTTCTAATCCTCATTTGAGTTGGCTCTGGAGCAGCGTGTATGTGTGTGCTTAAACCTACTAACATATTAGCTTTTACTGACAGAGGAGACCCGTTCTAATTTCTTTGCGCCCACCGTGCGGCCGGCTTTGTTGCCCCGTACAACCATCAGACCCCTTCGAACTTCTGCCCCCCCTCGCAAGGTCCAGGATGGTGTGTACTGTGTTTATATCCCCCTTAGTGGTGTCATTTACAGTCCCTGAGTTTGTGTGAGTCCATACGATTCAAAGCACGTCAAGGAAAAGGGTGCCTTTACAGTATTTATTGTAAAAATCAGTTATGTCATTAAGACATTTTACGTACCTGGCACCATTCTCTTTTATGCTTTGAATATATTATGTAGAAATATTTTAAATATTTTAATGTGAGTCGATCTTCTCATCTAGAAATGTGACAGAAAAACATTCTTCCCATAGTCTGCGTCCATGTTTGTCTGTTCTGTGCACTTGAAGGGCCCATATCGCAGAAATAAACAGCCTGTTTTTTTTTTAATAAAGAGAGGTTGGAAAATGGTCAAATTTTATTTTGACTGTTTTATATTATAAGTACACCTCAGATAAAAAACAATGCAAGAACAGTGTAAGATGTGAGCCCTTTAAACTCACTGTCATCAGTGACATATTGCATACCAGCACTTAAACTGCAACATAAACAACAGCTTGCTGTCAAGGCTGCTACCTTAAGTGCACTACGTCAGAACATATCATTTCCTTTCTTTCTTCCCTCATTCTAAATGTTTTGTAGTTAATTGTAATCCTGCATGGCAGCTGCACAGCATTAAATGCATAATGTTATTTAAATCATTCATTGTTTAAAATGTTACATCAGGGTCTATAAGGGTCTATATTATATACAATAAAATTGTTGTTTTTTACATTATCAATAGATTGTAGCATGTTATAGTGACATCATTTAGGCCTAGTAAATACCATAATAGTTGTCATATTGTTGATATTGTTATATGACGGAATTCACTACCTTTTTTCTAAAGAAGATCTAACACAGTGTACGTAATACATAATATTTACCTCATAGATTTAGATGAATTTGACCTCAGTGATGCTTTGGACCCCAGCAATGACATTGGAGGGAAAGGGAAAGACACTGGCAAAGGAGGTAGGTGTTTCTTCCCCTGTTCTTTTTCCTTTGCTTGTGATGTTGGGTTCATGTTAAGGATGCTATCTGAAGTTATTTTACGATAATTTCAATATGGGACTGCTGTCATTTTTATGGCTAGTTTGTATGCCAGAGTGTTTTGTTACATGTGCTTGTTTTGTAATTAACTCAGATCTTTCTTTTTAGTACTGGTGATATCAGTGTTTATCACGGCTTCAGAGAGATAGAATTAAGTAATGTAGGTTAGGCGTAACGTCTAGTGTCAAAGCAGAATAATTCTGTTAATTACATTACAGGTCAAAAATGTTGCTTTTGGACATCCAGTGTAAATATAGTAGGACCTTATAGTTCACTGATTGTTCTTCAGTGAGACACAGCAGAACACTAAAGGTGGCAAACATACAAAGCTTTGAAAATATGTGCACTCACAGAAATTCAGACAAAAGCGTGCATACATGTGTCCTGCTCACCTTTCCTTTATGAAACACACTCAGTGTGAAATTGAGCACACCAGCCTATGACCCCACCTTGTCCCTACCCAGAGATATGCCTTATTGGTATATGCAAATGACAGATGCCCCCTTTTTTTGACTTTCTCGTTAAGACAAAATATGGGAAAAAAATATGAAAAAGAAACATTTCAGTAACAGTGAAATAGAGATGATGAATGATGATGTTCAGGCCGGGAGAAATGTTTTATTCGGTGGTTTGTCAAGTAATGTAAATTGATTGTGTGGCAAAGCTAGTCACTGGCAGCAAATGTGTTTGATTGAGAGAATGACACAATACCCCAAATAAAAAAGATGTCACAGTTGAGGTTAAAAGAAGAATCATTGTTTGCTGGCTGACGAAGCAGCGAGTTTCCTCGATTATCTGAGAGATTCTAACATCTGGCATTTGGTGAGTTGTGGAAGGTAGATTTGGATTTGACTTTTGGTGACAGCGAGTTATTGACTTGTAATAAAGAGCACAAATTAAACATTTCCCAATACTGTAAACAGAAATCAGGCTGCACATGCGAGGTTATGCAGTGCTGTTCATTTTTCTTCACACAGGGGACTTTGATCTCTTGGATATCATTACTTCAGGGGGAGAAGGGGAAGGTGATGCCAAGCCCACTGTGTCTGGTGTATCCACAGCAACTGGCTGTGAACATGCGTCCACTGCATCCTGTGCTTCAGTCACAGAGGAGCATGAGTGTGAACATCAAAAAAACACTGTAGATGAGATCATAAATGTAAAAAATGAACTGAGAAATATCGGTAGCGTTCTGCATGAGATTAGTCTTTCATTAAAGGAACTGGTCAAAAAATGAGCTCAGCTTACCATTTAACCTTTCTCTTGCTTTGAAATGGAGCTGTTGGGCTGCTTCATTTGTTTGCATGTCTGGAGGGCCAGAGTCAGGATGAGGGCAGGGTATTGGCAGCAACTTAACCGTACAATGCGCATCATGAGACAATGACACAATACCATATTTTATTGCGATAGTATACAAGCATTATGATACAATATACTGCAAAAATAGTATACAAGCAACACGGTACAATACACTACCACCATAGTATACATGCACCACAGTACTGTAGCCCTTTTCCACTCCTGAGTCTGGGAATGGACATAATTACACTGGCACTCTTGCTCAGTCGAAATGCTGGCGAGCGCGGTTTTGAGCCACGTTTTGAGCGGGTACCCTTGATCACTTGAGGGTTAATGTTTAGTAGTTGTGGCCAGTAGCCAAGTGGTAGGAGAGGTGTGTCAGTAACCGGAGGGATGCAGGTTCAAATCCTTGAAATGACTGGACTGGCACCCAGTCAAGAGGGTGGGCATAGGGGAGAAGTTGTTGGGTGTGTTAGCTAGCTAGCTAGCCCATATTTATGTCCAGTTCTTTTCAGTAAACTAGTCTTTTCTTTAGTATCTACACAGTGGTCACATCCTTATAGGCAAAAAAAACAATCAAGTAATGCCCTTTCACAATTTAACCTCATGATCATAAGAAAAAATATCACATTTTAACATCATGTATCTTTTCAGTTATTCTTATTTTACTTGCTTATGTTGTATTTACTTTGCTGTAACGCCTGCATTTCCCACCATGGCTTAATAAAATCATATGTTAAGAATAACCTTGAATTATTTAGATTTTTCTCTCTCTCTGTAACTTGTAGCTTCCTCTTCCTTTTATGTGTTTTCACTGTGTGCTCACTGCGCATTTGAGAGACACTCTGAGCTGACTGCCCTATTCCGTTAATCTGTGCCGATGATGCAACGACACAAGTCCGACTCACTTTCTGAATCAAATGAGCTGGAAACTGGTTCTGTTGGCATACTTGTACAGTGTCATGCTAGAGCCAAGCTAGGTGTTTTTGAGTATCACTGGCAGAGCCTGCATGGCTGTAAAGTTGTATGGTTTTTTTGCCTTTGCTGCAGTCTCTCTGCCATGAATGCCGTGGATTTTCACACTCAAAAAGAGTTTGTTTTGCGAAATTCTGGTGCCCTACGCAGTATCACTGTAACAGCCCAAACCAGACTTGACTGTGTATTTTAATTACACTGACCAATGCAATGGACCAATACAGCCACCTCAGACTAAAGACTAATGTATTGATTTTGTGCACTTGACATTTAAAAAGATGTCAGTCATTCAAGATTCATATCTTAAATGGCTCGTTTCCCGTTTTATCAGAAAAAGTCTGCTCTTTTGGCATATTTCAGAGTGATAACTTGTACTAGTGTAGTCCAGTGTTAAGATCTGAAGCTATGTTACATATACATACTTTCAGCCATTGCAAAGATTGATTTGAAGTCACGGCTCTGTGCAGGACAGTCAAATTCTTTATGGCTGCATCTGATGACTGTTTTCATAACCTATTAGTTGCTCCATTATGACTTTGATTAATCGATTAGTTGGGAAACAGATCATAATATATACAAATGTTTTATTCAGTCAAAAAAAAATGTCTTCCTTCATTAAGTAAAAAAAAACAAAAAAACATCTATCCTGTCTTCTTACTCATATTTTCTTAAAAAAAAAAGGTCTTTAATTAAGGGCACAGCAGAGAACTTTTGAAAATGTTTTGAAAGGTGCAAAAACAATAAAGGAACAACACATCAAGGTCTAAGATGGATTTGATAAACCATCTTGATGGAAAATTGTCATTCTATGACAGCACCATGTTGAAAGTTGACCGAGATGCTGCGAGTGTCTGTGTATGGAGATTGCATGCATGTCTGCTTAATTTTGTGCACCCTGTTAACAGTGGGTGTAGCTGAAATAGCCAAACCCACACATGACAAAAGTTGCCCTCATACGTTTGGCAAAGGAGCCAGCATCACTGTATGTTGCATAGTTTTAAAGTCCTGTTTTCAAATAGGAATAATCAAGTATCCACACAAATAAGCAAACAAATGCTATTTCAGGTTTTGATAGGTCACTTCAGAGTCAGGATTTTGAAGGACTGTGCAATTTGAGGTCACTAGTTGACAGAATCTGTACACATGGTCTGAAATCATAGCAGAACAGATTGTCATGTCAAGCCAGCATGTGTTTGAAAACTGACATGCACAGTCTTTTTGTGGGCTTGCAGCATTTGTACATGAGACCCCAGGGCTTTTTTTGTTCTTAGTCTACTGCAGTACTTGGACTCAAATACTGTAATGAGAGCCAGAATCATTTCTAAAGCAAAAAGACTCAACTAGAGTTCCAGCCAGAGGATGGACTATTTTCCTATGGAGAATTCCCATGGAATGTGTAATGTATTCCATGAAAAGACATAACCTGTGTCTGGAAAAACAGTCGTCAATAGACCAGAAACAGCTATCAAACATTTTTAAAACAGTGCCAAAAATGTGAAAGTAACCCGGCTAGCTTTTCTGCTACTAGCAAGCAGTACTGTTTCTAGCATTTAGTAGTCATTTAGCAGGTCATCTTACTTTTTACAGATTATTTTACAGATCATCTTGATTTGATGATCTGTTGAGCAGTTTTCCATATTGATTGGAGTTGTATCATTAGTTGCTGTCTTAGAAGTGTAAAATCATAGTGGGGAACTGTAATCTCGTGTTCCTGTCAGATAAAGGTGTTGGAGGAGGGGGCCGAGGTGGTGGCAGACCCAGTATCAGAGGTGGAAACGGTGGTAAGGAACCCAGCAGTCTGCTTAAGGGTGACCTTTTGTGGCATGGAACTAAAATCTGTATTTCTCTTCCATGTCTTTTGGCATCTCTCTCCTGTAATTCTGGAAGGTTTTTCTTCTGCCTCATTGTTGCCCCCCACAGTTAAATCCACCTTCGCATTTAACAAGGCCTAATTCATAGTCTGGCTAAACACATAGTTCTAAGGAATGTAAGGAGCACATCTCACTAATAAACCATCACCTTGTATTCTGTTAACCAATAACCCTGCATGGTTATTGTGGTTTTAGTCACCAGATTTGTAGTTTTTCTTGATAGGTCTTCTGCTGGATCTTGTGAGCTGCTAACTTTCTTTACTTTTGGAAATGCAGGCTGTTCTCTCTTCTAGCTAGATGTACGTATCTCTTGAATTCCTTTTTCTAAGACCTTTTGAGGAATCTTCGCTATAGGATCTCAGTTTTGAAGATTTTATATAGGTAGATGCTTGATGACACACACATCAATCATCTACCTATAGCCTGTTGTTCCCAACTTAACAGTTGTGTTCTGTCCTTGTAGGTGGTACCTTTACAGATGATGACCTTCTGGATGTGGGAAGTGATGACAGCTACAAACCTGACAAAGGCAAAGGTGGCATTTTTAGACCATTTTCCTTTTCAACACTTTTAACCTGATGATTTTTTTGTCTGCACTGTGTTTTGGCAGCAGTATCTAGAGCTGTCTTTGGCAAACTACTTGGCAAAAAGATGGATATAAAATGTGTTGTTCATGCTTGTATTTTTACCATATGGGAGACCAGTAGGACAGTTTTTAAATATGCATTAGCATCATGCAGATTACTAACTTATCATTGCCGATTCATAGAGAAGGTAAATTTCTACCAAAAATATAGAATAGTTAAAACCAGTATAACAGCTCAGCAGTATTTACAGATGTGCATGTTTCCGCAGGTGGGCGAGGAGCTGCAAACAGTGGTGATTTGGACTCTACTGATAATGGTGATTATGGTAAGAATTATACCTAACTTTTTAAACTAAAATAGAAGTAGGTAATTTAAATGTGTTTTAGATTGATCCCGGCTTGTATGCATTTGTTCTTATGTTTTGTTAGAGATATGATGAGAGGTTAGGTCAGTTATATCAGCAAGGTCAGTTTCCCATTATGACAAACTGTCTTATTCACCTCTAGACACTATGGCAGAGACTGGTACCATTGCTGGCATTGTAAGCGCTGTTGCTATGGCACTGGTTGGTGCAGTCAGCAGCTACATCTCCTACCAGAAGAAGAAGTTCTGCTTTAGCGTACAGCGTAAGAACAAGCAGCCAGCACCTTTACTAATATGTGGACCATTTATTACCACTTAGTCTCCAGTGTACCTTATTGTCTTTTTATATTTTCTCCAGAGAGTCTGAATGCAGACATGGTTAAGACAGACAATCCAGAAGCTGTTGTGGCCCAGGAACCTCAAGGTAAATACATCACCCTCGTCCTTCATCAGTAACCTGATCTTTTGAAAGATGTATCAGCGAATCCAGAACTCCCAGAACAAGACAAACACACAAAAAGACAGTTGATTAGACATAAAAGTTGTATTACACATTAAAGAAATTTCTTGACACATAATGCTTAAGCCTTAGAAGTCTAGAGTATTATTGCATTTTTACCATAGTATACAAATGTAATTATATATAATTACACATTTAACTAATTTCTATAATTATATATTTAATTACATGGTTATATAATGAATTACATTCGATTTACATTCTGTAGTGACAGCTATGAGTCTTCAGACTTTTTTCCACTGACGTGTAATGTAAATGTAAAGATTTTTTCTTTCTGTATTCACAACAGTAACTTTTAATCACATTCCAATCATTAGGAGTAGTACAAGGAGTATAGGAGGTCTGTTTCCCAGTATGACAGACCTTCCTGAGCTTCTGTCCCAAACTATCCATCTTTAGACAACTACTTATGAACAAAAACGTGGCATCGATCGAAATTTAGAATCCACGCTTATTTTGTTGAACTGCAAGTGAGAAATATTATGCTATGCTTTGCTTATTGATGGTCATAACTGGGACTTCTAAAGTTTAATTGAAGAGATACAAGAATAAGATCAATATTCTTGTAATGTCCATTGTCACTGTTGTTTGATTGTCTTAATTAATTTTATGATGTATCTATTAATCTTGTGTTTTCGTCATTTTGTCCTCCCAGTTCAACAAACTCTACTCCAGCCCGCTAATGCTGAGCCACCTGCAGAAGATAATGCAGTGTAACCTGTACTGCATCTTCCAGTCTGAGGAGGGTGCAGTGATAAATATGAATGCCCTCCTGATGGGGAAAACACCATCTTTCCCAGCCTGCACCTGCTAACCCACTCTTTTTTTGAACTACCCATTCAGCTTTCTCATCTAGTCAGACTTTCTGTAAATATCATATTTATTTAACTGTTTGCCTTCATCACAAGTAATATATGACTGTTTACAATATTATTCCTATGAAGTGGGAAATTCTGCAAAAATGAAGAAAAGTGCTATTGCAAGAGGATTTGTGTACTTTGTTCCAGACAATTTAATACTTTTATTACAGCTGCCCTAAATCCGCTGGCTTCACATATGAGTGCGACACTGTCACTGTGTAACTAAGGTGTTTAATCCATATCTGGTTTACGCAAATGTTGTAGAAGGTGACTGAATAACTAATATTAATATACATTGATCTGAAATCCACTTCCATAGGAAAAACTTTGCAAATGGGTTATTGATGGAGGTGACCTTAACCCCCAATTGCTAACGATTTATTACCTTTTAATGCACACTCTTGTCACAATTTCAAATGTTTTTACATGATCTGTATATATTTGCCCTGCTTTTACACATAGTGTGAAGTGATTGTTGTACATAAGCAGGTTTTTGTGTCCTAGAATCTTAACTAGTTTCTAGTGAAGCTACAAAAAAAAAAAAAACAGACTGACACTGATGTCAAACTCTAACCTACAGCTGCTCACGTTTTCATTTGCATTTTAAGTAACTGGAAATTACCTGTGTGAAAAGTTGATTGTGTTGAAGAAACTGTGTTGAGTCTTGCTAACTAAGCTTTGTTTTCGTGTGTTTTGATGATCAGTACACCAATGGTAGCAGTTCATGTTTTTAAGAAATAGGTGAGTTGAATATGAAGAAGATGCCTAGGTAGGCTTGTATGAATTAGGCCTAAGAGAAGGAATACATAGACGCCGAGGTCAATCTTAAATGTTTGTGCTGACAGTACTCGAACAGCTTATTACGTTTTTGTATCCCTTATGGAATTTGCCTTTTTGGGACTTTTTAAAGATATTGTGCTTGTAAATTGTGTATTGCGTGTATTCAAGTTTGTACTCGAATGGTCATATCAGTGTATCCTTATACACACTTGTAGCAGTATATGTATGGAGGTATTTGTGTCCCCCACTCTTCCCGCTTTACTAGAATGGGGTTGTCTTAACTTAGCGGTCATATTATTAGTGGAGCGTTTGGACTTAGCTTTTTGTCTTTTTAATCCTAGTACAATCTGTTGCACCCTTCACAGTCTTGCTGTTGCCTTACGGAATTTTCGGCTGTGTTCCAATTTGCGTGTTTGGTCCTTTCACAAGATCCATGTGATTGAGAAGACCTTTCGTAGTTCATTTGTGTTGAATGGCTCTTTTCCTTAGCTTTACTTAACCGTGAAGACCAGAGGGCTCATTTTGAAGAGAAACGAAGCAAAAAGTTAATTGGAGCACAGCCTAAATTTGCCCTATTTTCCTTCCCGAGATTTCCCAGCTTTCTCTGTCACCTGTCACCTCCTTTTTGTCATGCTCCGTTCTGATGCACCTTCTCTATCTTCTTAGCCACTTCCTGCTGGTGCTTTCCTTTTTTATGCCTTACCCTGTACACAGGGGGAAAAACAGCACTAACGCAGAAGGGAATACAGTACTGACTGCAGTTGAATGTGTCCAAACCAGATGTGTGTGGTTGAACTCTTGGTAGGACATTCCAACATGTCACAGAAGAACACAGATCCAACAACCCAAATATTCTCTTTCTGCAAGATTACAGTTAGAATAGAAAGATCTGAACATCAACCACTTGCTGTTGCTCTAATACTCCTGCTTGAATACGGCTACCTTTTGCACTGCACTGACAGTCACGTCCTATCAAGGGTTCCGTTCCATATCCATGGTTTCTAACTAACAAACAGAATGTCTGCTGAATGTAACTTTTTCCTGCGCTGCCATTTTGTTTGTTAGGTTTACCACTTAGATGTAGCATCTTGGGAGCTACTTATGGCAGAAATGCAGAACACCAAAGATATGGTAATGAGGGAGTGATCTTGTCCCTTTGCATGTGCTTTGACTAGCTGGTGACTGTTCAGATAAGAGTTGGTTTGTAGCAAAATTTCAAATTCACAAATGCCTTGACCACTTACTCGAATTTTTAACAACAAATTTGACAGTGTTTGTTCTTCATAATTTGACTGTTATAACCGGCGGATTCGACCATCCTTCGTGAACTGTGGCTTAATCTATGAAACGAGATTACGTATTCCATATAGGTCATGAGTCGGACGTTGCATCTAGTCTGTAAGGAATTCTGGGCTTTCTTGTGTCATTTAGATACAAACCGCAACGCTCTTCAAAAAAGGGTGAAAACACAGATGCATGCTTTGGTTATCTAGCTATAGACAACATTTTTTCTTGCGTACTTGGTTGACTTCTGAAGTTTGGACGAGTTTTATAGTGAGAGAGTTTTTTGGATTTGCACTGCCAGTGATGTGATTGTATGTAAGCATTACAACACCTATGCTGCAGATCAGACTGTAATGCTGTACGGTAGACTTTGTGTTGTGGGATTACTGCACTGTCTTTGACCTTGACCAGATTTGATTTTCTGCATGGAGTCTCACTGCGATCATCAGTGCCTGTTCTGCTCTGTTCAGGTCAGACTGTTGCACCCACACTCACCCCCGAGTGAAGGCCAGAGTTAGTTAAGATCTATCGACAATCTTCACTGTTAAAACTGTCACGTTTCTACTGTTTTTTAGCACTACAGATCTGTTCTCAAATCTCCTTATCTCACTGGCAATTCCTGATAGAAAGAGATTAATGTGAACAAAAAAACAATAAAATGGACTGAAATTACATGAGACTTCGATGCTTTTTTAATGTTTTTTCTTTATTTTTTTCCCACTGGAATGTCAGAAGTTTCTTTAAACTTGGCTATAAGGCATGGCACATTCTCAACTACAGTAAATGTGGTAACATTTTAAAATGTATAGAAGGAGTGCATAAACATGGTGGGTGAGGAATAAGAAATACAGTGAATAAGCTTAGAACATTAGTCTCACAAATAATAGACTGCAAGTGCATCGGTGGTGAAGGTGGCATTATGATTGAATTGGCATTCTCAGTAAATGCACTGAAAGCATGACTGGCAGACAAGATTTCAGCCAAGCACCACTTTTTATTTATTTATTTATTTATTTATTTATAAACGTGCTAATCTTAATGTTTTAATGTCTCTACATCCATGTAAAGCACCTTTGGCCTCATTTCAACATACTGTCACTGTTGGTACAAAACTACCACCATTTTTTAAAAATTATTATATATTTTTTTAACACCACTTGAACGCCAGCTGCCCTTTACATTGATGAATAGACCTATAAAAATGGTCCAAAATGAAATCTTAATGTTGATTTCCATTAAAAATGAAGCATTCTGTAAAGTTACCTTTTTGGAGTTAGAAGGTTTTGTACCAACATCGATGATTTTATTACCAACTCCCCTCTTAATTTACCCCCTAATCACTCATTCACATATCTGCATGTTCTTTTCACACAACATACTGCTTTCCCTATTTCTAAAGTGAGATATTGGTTTAAGACACCAAGTGCCAGACATTGGCCATAAGAAGCTTTTTGTTCTGTAAACAAATCATGAAGATACCAACCAAACAGTTAGTTGAATTGGTGTGAAACAGTTTTGTTTTGGATCATATTAAATGAAGACACACCTCACTGTGGAGCCACCACTGCACTGAACACACTTGCCACAAAGTATATTGGGATACAAAACAACTAATAAATGGGCAACTTAGAAGAATAAAAACAAACATATAAAGTACCTCCAGTTCAACTTGTAACATCAACACTGCACTGACATGTCACAGTAAATTGTGTTATAGCTAATATTTCATGTATGTAACAACTGTGACCTTCATGACCCTCAACATATCAGTAATGACACGGTTTCCCTCATATAAAAAATGCATACAATTGCAAAGAAAAGACAGATTCAATGATGGCCTTATAGAGCAGTACAATTCAGTCACATTCAACTCCTTCATACTATCAAACTACATCATCCCTCTTCATCAGTGCTTCATATATTACCAATGAGAACATTAGCCTTATTAAAAAATACTGAAATAGCTATCAAACTTCAGTGTAATGACAAAAAAGACAAAATGGAAAAATAAAAGCAATCAAATATAAAAGTAGAAGAAAGTATTCTCTTTGAAAATATTACACAATATTGAATGAGTTCAAGTAACTAATAACAGCTTACAAATGTAAAAAAAAAAACATGAAAAGGATCGGTTGGCACAGAGTGGCAACTGTGGGATGGCAAGTAAAGACGGAGTGAAAAACAGCATAAACCAATGGATACAACACTGTTTTTAGGTTAAGTACAAATATATTAATTCATTTGTTCATATTTACATTTCCAATATTAGATAATAAACAACATGACCCAAACATCTTAACTATATCATTACAGAACGCAAAGAAACATTATGAGCACTTTTTCACAGTTTATAAAAAGGTCTGAAACTTTAAAATTCCGAAACTACAGTGACTTACGGGTTTAAGAACGAGAATATCAATGTCTGTGTCTTTGCTCATTTCTTTTGATGTACTCATGCACTTACTGCCCTTGCTTGAGTGAGTATTTGTGGATAAGTGCTGTTGCGTGTGGGTGTGATGTGTGTACACATGAGCGACATTTGAGACTTACGTCAGGGGGGCAAGCCATCTCAGTCAACTACACAGTAAGTACAAAACCTGTATTTAGCAAATAGCCTACATTTATCAAAGTATAAACAATGTCCTACCGTAAGACGGCACCCACTGGGCACAGCATTTAACGCACTGACCGTTTTTTCCAAGTCTATGTGAATGGCCCGTTCATAATTCAGCACTCCAACAGTCTCTCCTGACTCCTGACTCATGGTGTTTCTCATGTTTTCAGTCGACACAAGCAAGAATAGTTCCATATTGTTCAGTGTGATTTGGCTTTCCATGTCATTTTCCTGAAGGCTCTCGCAGATTTCTGTATGGTTTTGTCCAGTACACCAAAATACAATTCCTTGTAGTAACATAGTAATGCCAAGTAAGACACGGAACTACAGAAAGCGCATAAGTCAACCATGTGCTTCCAGAATTTTTGAAAGTCGCTATCTGTTCCCATTGCTAACAGAGTAGAGACTGTGCTTCTAGTGAGGCTCTTCACCGTGGCATAATTTAAAGTTGGTGACTGCAGTGCTTTCGATAGTACATTGCATTGCTTGGAAACTCCTCACATCAGAACACAGTCCGCCCCCTAATGTTGTAGGGCTCAGTCTCTATACATAGTAAATAGTTTTGTTTTGAAAAATGGCAGTATTCCATGGTTAAAGTGAGTTGACAAACATTTTAGCAGAGACAAATGCCCCCTATTGCCCCCCCCCAAATGTCGCCCATGTGTGTGCATATTTAAACAGTGGTGTGGAGTGGTGTACCGCTATGCGAGGGTGAAGATGCATGTTCTGAGGATGAGGAGATGGATCGTGATGATGATGCCTCTCTTTGCAGCTCCTCCACTTTCTTCTGCAGCTCAGCACGTAAAAACAACAACTCCTTCAAATTCTGATGTACTGGCACCTGTACGAAACGTACAGAAACACACAGTTCAGTAGATTTGGGAGGAAAAAATACTGGTATTGCAAAATGTGGGGTGAAAAAACAGTACACAGAGTTTAATATATAGGTATACTTTTAATGTGTATTAAGCCTATTGGTAAACTAGCTGCATAGAAATCAATTGATTTCTTAGTCTTCAACATGGTGCTGAGTTTTTTCTTTTTGTTTGTTTTTAACTCTTTCTGATGAGACCAAGGAATGTATATGTCTGTGTCCCTGTGATGGACTGGCGACCCGTCCAGGGTGTATCCTGTCTTCCGCCCAGTGACCACTGGGATAAGCTCCAGCACTCCACCCCGACCCAGGATAAGCAGTTTAGAAAGTGTGTGTGTGTGTGTGGTGAGTCCAAGGGATCTGACCATGGTGTTATTAGTAGAAATAGCAATGGTGTCGTCAAGGGGGGAGCCAAGAGGGCCACCATCACCCTGATACCATCGCTGGCCCCCCGGTGAGTGGCATACGCATATGCTGCATAATATGCTTCTATCTGATGTATTACACTAGGTACCATGGCTGTCAACAAATATTCTAAATTCAATTATATAATCAAATTGTTAATCACACACACACACACACACACACACACACACACACACACACACACACACACATTTCATTGTAAAAATTAATGTTCAATTGTGAAAAAAGCAGCAAACTAAAAAGCCCTGTTTGGAAATACTTCAGGGCAGTTCTTATAGGTCAGTAGACAGCAAAATTGTGAAACCTTGAGATGAAGTTTTATGCAAGCTTTGTAAGCATGAGTTAGCCTATTATTCCAGCACTAGCAAGCTGAGGGCATCTGAAAATATGCACCCATATGCATCTGATTCAGTTCCTCCTCAAAGTCACATTCCCCCTGATAGATCATGGTTGCGGGTGTGTGGTGTGTGGGTACACAGCACTGAAACAATGGAAAGCGAAATGGGTAAAAAAAAAGGCTTTTGCCTCAATTTAATAATCCAATCGGTGGCAAAGTGAAGATTTACACCTTTCTTGAATCTTTTTTACTTTATGTAGTTGCAGTGTTGTTTGGTGCTGATTTCTTCTCAGTGAAAGCAGCACGTGAATTTGAGGGGGAACTGAATCTGATGCAACACTCTTGTTGTACTGGTTTGCCCTCTTATGGACAAAATGTGCCAAAACAGATACTTGAATGGTTTGAACCTACATGGTTTTAGATGGGATACTGTCATTTCTGGCCAATTTTGACAGCCCTAATGCACACCAGATAATTAGTAACATTAGCTATAAAATAAAAAAGTATCACAGTATGCAATTCATTAACTCTCATAGTAACATAGTTTTCAACTAGTCAATATACTACAAAAGCATTATCAAGCAAGCATAATAGAATTCCTGAAATTCAGTTACGGCTTATTGTTTGGTGTGCCACCCCAAGATTTAGCTGGATAGCTGGACAGTGTAGTGGATAACCCAGAGGGACACTGGGGTTTAAATTCCCATCCAGGACAGAATTCCACTACTACACCAATAAAGTCCTTGGGCAAGTCTCCTGATGCTACCTTTACCTACCACTGTAAATCACTTTAGAGGTGACTTGTCAGTGCCACCATTAAAACACCAGAGCTTTACTAAAGGCTATGAAAAACTATCCTTTTTTTTAATGTCACTTGCTGAAGCCCTGCAACACAAACAGGAACTAAAAATGCAAAGACGAAAATAGTGATGTCAGATTTCAAGGTTTAACTGACTTGTACTCTGTGTAAACTTAGCTTAGTTTGTCTCAATACAAATTCTCATATAGAACAGAGGAACTCAAAGTGCATTTTCTTAAACCATCTACATATTTCACAAGAGTATTAAATGAGTTTTCCAGTGTAATCACCTGTGGTCTCATGCGAGGGTTCCAGCGCACATAGTAGCCCACCCACAGCTCCAGATGCCTCAGACTGGCCAGGGGATACAGGACATGGTTTTCATAGTCCACATAGAATGGGTTAGTAAAGTCCTCTGGCTGACTGTTAATGTAGGACCACAGAGACACTGTCTTACTCTGCACTTCCTGAGTTAGAAGAAAAATAGAAAGAAAAGCTGTATTTAAGAGAACTGGACAAACTGTACAGTACAAACAGTGTTTCAGTTACAAAGCCTCCCCCATGTGTTATAAAGTGGATCATGCCTTTTCCATCCTCTCCTGCTCACTGCTGTAAAGGAATGTACCAAAGAGGCAGCTGTACAGGTGGTCCAAGATGGTAATAAGAAGGAGTTCATTGAACTCAAATGCAGAGGGAAACTGTGAAAAAAAAACACATACATACAGTTATAACCATAACTAGAACTTACTCTTAATAATATCTAGTACAATGAAGCATGCAGTTTCCTGTTTTGAACGGTAGAGGTACAAAAGGAAACTTAATATTTACTGTAGTACAAATAGATCACCTGTCTCATCATCTGCCACACACAGTCTATGAACTGCACAAAGAGAGGCGAGCGTTCAGAGTTAGCATGATTCTCATCTCCATGACCAACACGCTGCGAAAAAGAGAGGGATAGAGAGAGAGAGAGAGAGAGAGAGAGAGAGAGAGAGAGAGAAAAGGTTAATACATTTTAATATACCCTGGCGTATAATAATAGCCTGGAGTAGTTTGTATTCATATTCAATAGTTAAATAACATAAAGCCAATGTTGTTGCAGATACATGTATAAAATAATTCTAAAACGATGTTTCATCTCTTTCATCTCAACTTCACATGATTCAAATGATTTGTTGGAAGAAGAAATGATAGATGTGCTCAGACTGATGAACAGAGCTGTACATGATTCCAAAATGAATGAGAAAGCTGTATAATATTAAGAATGAACATGTAATACAATTTTTTTTAATAGTAATAATAATAATGACAATAATAATAAAAATAATAATAATAATGATACACAATGTCTAGTATTACAAAAGTGGTGATCAAGTCAAATTTAAAAACAAACAAAACAAAAAAACTATTGTTTACAGGAGATTACAGCACAACACTGATTATTTAATATGTCCTAGTTGTTCCAAGGATACATAAAATATCACAACATGTATTCTGGTGACTAGTTTATATCAATCTACACTTAATCAATCTACATTACTGAATAAATAATAACAATAAAAAAGCGTGAGTGATTTCTAACGTTTGAACAGTATTGTACACGCGCACACCCCCTGCTGTTGGTGCTCACCGAGGCGAACTTGTGTCCGAAGCTGATCCACTCCTTCTCCAGCAGCACCTGGAAGCCCCTGAGCGTGCGGTAGTAGGAGTCCAGCATCAGCATAGCAAGGGAGGTGAGCTGAGCTGTGCGGTCCCAGCCGTCACTGCAGTGCACCACCACTGAGCTCTTACTGGACTCCACTTTATCCGCTATACGCACCGCACCTGCTAACAGCAGCTAACAGCACACACAGAAGTAACCAGTAAAGTTAGGGTAAATAAAGACAGGTGACAAATCACCACTGCAGTGATTAGTTTACACATAGTTTATATATATGTATGGATATTATTCATTACTTTTTCTGTAGAATTTAGGTCATTTGTTCAGTCATCTAGTTAACACGTCCAAAAGCTAAATTAACTATGATAACGAAAAATACCATAGAACCTGACATATGATGTATATTTATACCTTTGTAGATTTTTTTTACATGTAACTTTCATATTTTTATTCAGAAACAAATTCGAATATGCTGTTGTTTTGGTAACAATCGCCAGTTCCATGTGACGTAAAACACTGAACTTGATTAAATAAATAAAACCCCACTTTATACCCATATGTTTTTGGAGATTTCATTTGTGCTCAGGCAGGCTAAGAGAATATATGATTCAAAGGAAATACCATATTTCAGGTATGGACATTACTTTGTTAATGTGGTGGTTAATGTGGGTTTTCTGTGGCACAGCTGCAATGTGGCAGTGTGTTTGGTCTATCTGTGTGAAATAATGCCTGTTGGTTCGCTGTTTCTTCGATCTGGTGTCCATCATAACAGCTCCTTATTTTTGCTACATTTCAGTATTTGTTTGTTTTGAATAGCTTACAAAAGTTCCACAGATAAAAGGTAAAGTAGCTTATCCAACAATGACGCAATAATGGTGTGTGTGTACTGTTTACCCTGATATACTCCAGCCAGTGTGTGGCGTCTATTGCAGAGTGCCAGCGAAGTTCATCGATGGTGGGGTAGACCACTTCCTTCAGCTTCCGCAGAGACTCTCTCATCACATGGATGTTGGGGATATCCAGGAAATTCAATTCCACATGGGGATAAAAACTCTCATTCTCGTAACCTCCGTCTTTCGCCTGGAGATGAAAAGATGAAAACGAGAATTAGAAAGAGTAAGTGAGTGAGTAAAAAATGTAAAAATAGATAGAATCATAATCTTATTGCTGGCGAGAACAAAAGCATGGAATAATTTGATAGTAATTAATTTCTCAATCATAGTTCACGGAAACAAGCGGGTAAATTCTGTTGACAATACAGATTCTGCCAGTGCTGAACTTTCAATCCTTACCACCTCAGTAGGACAGTAGATATTTTATTATGACTTGAATGTGATAAAAAGTTCTTGTTGTGCGTGGAGGCTTGTTTTGCAGAAAGAAAAAAGTATCCTGTACATTTTGTTCATATTTTTGTTATTTGTGGAAACCGAAACAAAAAAATTCAAAGTGCAGACTCGAAACTTGTTGATACAGAATGTAAATCGAATGTACATGTAATTCCCCATGTAATTAACTGTGATCGTGTTAAACTAATTTATCATGTAATTGTGTGATTATATTTAAATAGCATAATAAATAGTTGATAAGTTCATGCTTTTAATGTAATAAATTACATTTTCTTTCCAATTGACTGTAAATCCAGAAAATGATCCAAAAGTATTTATCAACAAAAGAAGTGGAGGGGTGGACACTGGAGGGCTGGAGATATACAACAATATATCATCAGCATACAGAGATATGAATATATAGCTGTCTTCCTTTTATCTTGACAGGCATTATTTCGTATGCTGGCGCATGCTTAAAGCAAGCGCATTCTATTTTTATTTTCATTTTGCACAGTGTCCCAACTTTTTTGGAAATCGTTGTGTATTAATTAATTACTAATATTAGTAATTAATCTTAATAGATTTATTATTTTAATTGTTGACAGCCTTACTAATAAACCTATGATAATCATTCTTCGCAATAATCATATACATATATAAGCACAACTCCATTTTAAACCCTGTCTCAGTCCTCTTTTTACCTTATTAGTGTCAGCGACGCTGCTCTGCCTGGCATCAAATATGGTGAGCTTGTGTGACTGAGCATTGGCATCCATGATGGTCTGCAAGTAACGTTCATCTTCTTTACAGCGCCGGTCTGAGGGGCCCACCAGAGGCTGACTGCAGCGCACGATAGTGGCTTGAGTCTCAGGGTGGATCCATGAGAGGACCTGAGAGAGAGCAGGTGAAAACACATGCCATGTCACACATGAAAAGTGACATCACTAGTAAGCTATTTTACTAGCTGCAGGGAAAAGCAGCCATACATAAATACAGGGCTTCACGATATGGATCAAAATACCACAGCTACATACTGCAATGTCTTGCAGTCTATTAAAACCACACTGGTGAGCTTATGATACGATATGCATTCATTACAAAATTATCCATGTTTGTAGGATCACTTGAATGTCTTCATTCATTAAAACACCAAAAGAACACTCAAGTGTAACATCTGAGATTGAGCAGGATGCTCATCATAGAACAATAAAAATATTTATTTTTAGAAGGCTTGTTTGAAAACTGCAGCCTTCTTCGACATCAGTAGCTAATATTATGATAATGACTAATAATGACTCACAAACAATATATTGTATGGCTCTTTATACATCCATGGGCTACTTGGCCTACAACACAGCATTTAAGATATGAACTTAAAACTATCAACTTATCAACTAGGGATGAACATGATTAACTGATTAACCGTTAACCAACAAATAAACATCACTAGAAGCTCATTTGAATTCCGTTTCCTTTCCAGTAAACAGCACTAAGAACTTATCATCTAAGTTGAGGAACGTTTCTGAATTGTATGCATGAGGGCGCATTAGGTAATTGGTTCTGCTGGAAGCAGAAGCATGCAGCTATGAATAGTGATGTTCTGGACCACTTTTGGAGAGGACGCAGCACGGGTATAATGACGTACCATATCAAAAGCAAATATCCACAAGTGGTAAGAATTTTTTGTTCGTGATCTCGGACAGAAAGTGTGATGTAAGGAAAACCACACATGGGTGTGCAATGTACTTCATCAGCTTTTAATTTTGGTATTCTTGAACATATTTCAGTTGTCATGCCCTCGGTTGAAAGAAAAACGTAGTCTGTGTTTAATACGGTTTCAGCATTACATTCCATTGCATCACCACAGAATACAGCTGATGTGTGCTCTCCTAAGTGTGTGTATATCAGGTATTTTACTACAGCTTCAAATGTGTCTCAGCCAGTCAAATTTAAGAACGGGAACTGTTCATTTTATAACTTATTTTTAATGGATCACATCCTTGTTTCTACGTTTGCCGGATACTGATTAATCGCTGACAATAACTGTCTGTTATCAGTCCAAAGAATTTGCAAACATTTGCATCTCTAATATCAATTACACAACCAGTGAAAAGGCCTGCATTACGAGCAAATAGAAACTGAATCAGTAATAGTGGACACACATGTGCACACACACTAACCGGTATGCGGTGCTTGGCTCTGAAAGAGGCCACTCTTTTAAGCTCATCGTCTTTGATGCTGGTCGGGATGACCAGCAGAGCAGGGTATGTGTCACACACTTCATAACTACTGTTTATCTTACTGATAGTCCAGCTTTCATTAGGCAGACCCTACAGAGAGAGCACAGGAATGAGAGAATGAGTTATTTTAAATCATGATATATTTCTAATTTAATGAAATAGTTACAAAACGTTATAAATATAGAACCTGTCTCTTGTACTCAGCCACTGGGTCATAAACCTTCCATCCATCTACCGGATACTCCTCTTTGTATTGGAAAGCAAACAGAGGCTGGAAAAAAATTAGAATAAATGACTGACAGCTTCCTGAAGCACTCCTCTAATGAGGACTAAGAGCTATTGATGACTAAGTGAGGCTGAGTGCCAGGATTACTGACCAGATCGTTGGACAGAGGGAAGGCGTACTTGGTAAGCGTCTCCACAATCTCCAGCTTACACTGCTCCTCTGTCTTATAGGCAAACCTAGGACTCCTCATGTCCTGAGAGAGAGAGAGAAAGAGAGAGAGAGATGAAAACTTACTGCTGAATTGAATGAATCAGCATTTGTAAAGATCCCCTGGTTTCACAACAGTTTGTCGCATCATTTGCATTAAACATACAGTCCAATAGGGCTGGGCAATATGATGATGAGTTATCACGACAAATTACTTCAACATACAAATTATGTGTATTGTGGATATTGTCAATATTTTTAGAACACTGAACAACTGCCTGTATCAGAAAACCAGCATATAAAAACTGCACAGCAACTATTGCAATATACTTTGTACCAGTTGTTTGTTCCTCCTGTTCCTCTTTAAATAGCTTATTTTTCTGCAAAAACTGAAAAAATCATTGTGCACATTGTAAACAAATCCCTTTTTCAAAGTCTTTTTTAAATGTGGGACTACTGTTTTGCTGCAGTGCCCATTCAAACTTGTTCACAAACAAAATATAGTGATACATACTGGGTATCATGGTGTTTCCCTCAGGTCTGAAACAAAAACTGGTGGACCACCATGAGGTGGTGGGGAGTCTGTTTAAATATATGGACATCCGTACATCAGTGTATTGGGTATTTAAATAAGGCATCGAATAAGCAATGGGATAACACTGGAAATCCTAGAGAGGCACTAGTGGAAATCAACATAATCCCAACAATCAGTACCAGGAAATCAGTAAAGGTTTAGTTTGTGGAGATGACCAGAGGAAAAAAGAGTGATGCTTCCTTGGGCAGCAAAGCTTAGTAGTTTATAAAGAAGAAATATCAGATCAGTATCTGTATTGGCCGATACTTGACATTTCAATATCTGTATCGGAAGGGGGAAAGTGGTATATATGACATCATGATGTCATATTTCTGCCATATCGCCCACCTGTAGGATCCAGGCCAGTGTAGGTCAGTCTCTCACCTTGCAGACGATCTCCATGCCCCGTGTGTTTTCTCCATGGCTCTGAACACTGATGGTCTCCAGCCTGCTGATCGCCCCCAGATTCACATCCAGCACAAATGGAGGATCCTGAAAGGAAAAAAACAAAAACAAAACAAGGACAAAAACATGAGTGAGTTACTTATTTGATCCTTATTTGACCTGCTGCCAATTCAAACCTTCTTTATTTTTACACATGCAACCACATTGCAGTACTGCAAAGGATGAGACGTCCTTACCCTCTCTAGACTGATGAAGTAGAGCTTGTAGTCTGTGACAGTCAGTGTGCCAGTCACAGCTCCAGTGAACGGACAGATGTACATCACATCTTTAGCTACGCAAGACAGAGCAACCAGAGATTTCTTGGTGTTATAACGGAAGCAGGTGGTAAGGAAATATTGCGTGTAGTAAGAAAGAAGACAGGAAGAGACTCACCAGTGGTTTTAATGGTCTCTCCTGGGACCAGTGGAACTTCATCCAGGGGGATCACCCTCTGTGTGTCTTTGAATACCTGCTACTCAAGCAAATTTACTACCCATCAGGACTAAGTCTCAATCGGCAGTCTTAACAAATCAACCCTCAAAAGTACACAGAATCATGCATCATCAATCATACAGTAGCCCATGATTAATAATAATAATAAAAATGAAATGAAATGATCTAAATGTGATGATTCAATAGCACAGATTTAGAATTTGATGCTGATAATAATATTGTTAAATGAAAAAAGCATGCACTTATGTTTCGGCCAAAATAAATTTCTTGGACGTCCTTCAAAAAAACTTTGCGTATTCTTTTTATTATCTACATTCCACTACTGTGTAAACAGTTACAGCAGTCACATTTGTGAATTCAGAGCAAAATAATTTATAGTAATCAGTACAATAAAATTCAATCACGTTAACTTGCTCAAAATTTGATTCAGTTATGATTCTTTAGGAAACAATTCAATGCATAAAACACTGAATGCACTGACTTGTTTAAGAATGAATCAAAAGTGAGATTTACATTACTATTAATAATAATAATAATAATAATAATAAAATGCTAACACACTAGTTTATTGCTATATTTTCTAATCTTTTAGAGTTATAGTGTTCATAGCGAGTTCGTTTTCTGATCCTGAATAATGCATGTTATAAAGGTCATTTCTCTCTGGTCAGCTGATACATTATTTCTACAGTCATGGTTATTTCTGGAGTGTTTATTCAATGTAGTCTGTAATACACTAATGTGATGAGACAGAAGAAGCAAATGGAGCACTGCAGGGAGAGGACAAGCACTCAGCTCAAGTAATAGCTCTACTGACAGTCAGGGTGGAGCAGAAACAGAAGAGTGACAGACAGGACATGCAGTATGTGGTCAGAGAAGTGGCTGAGAGCAGAAAAAGTGAGGAATACTATGGGTTAAAAGAGGAAGACTTGCCACAGCGTGAGGAGGCAGCTCAGAGTCACTGTCACACTGATAACCAAGCTCTTCACTAGAGTCCTGCATACACAGCCGAAGAGGACAGAGGCGGACAGAGAGAAAGAGAGAGAGAAGAAGTGGAAGAAGACAGAATTAACACTGCGATGTAGCGATTAGAATTCATGGGAGTGAAGAAGGGAAGGAGAAAGAGAGGAAAGTGGAAAAAGACAGAGTTAATATTATTAGCAGTGGGAATCACAATATGATACTATCATGATGCATGAACCAATGATGATTCAAGCTCTCTCCTATCACACATTGCTACCGAGCTGGGAAGGTGTGTGTCCTTCAAGGGCCAACTCCTGAATGTTGTGATTCTACCGCAATCTTTATAGATGTACAATGTGCCAAGTATTGCGTTATGACACACTGCAATGTACTGCAGTGTTTTCCTTCTGACTGCAAATCACTCTACAAAAGAAAACTTTCTCTGATTTACAGAATGAAGTTTACACTTTGTTCATTATACTTAAAATACTTTTCATTTAAGCACTAGGAAGTTAACCAAGCAACATTAATGCAATGTTACGGGCATCAACACTTATGTTTCCACTATTTTTTCACCTAAAATATTGTAATACTGCACTTACTGGCCACATTATTAGGTCCACTTACAATGCACATGCACTTTGGTGTTACGATTACAGACTGTAGTCCATCTGTTTCTCTGCATAATTTGTTAGCCCCCCCTTTGCTCTAATAGTAAGGGTTCAGGACCCCATAGGACCACAACAGAGCAGGTACTATTTGGATGGCAGATCATTCTCAGCACTGCAGTGACACTGACATGGTGGTGGTGTTTTAGTGTGTGTTGTGCTGGTACGAGTGGATCAGACACAGAAGTGCTTCTGGAGTTTTTAAACACCTCAGTGTCACTGCTGGACTGAGAATAGTCCACCAACCAAAAATATCCAGCCAACAGTGTCCTGTGGGCAGCGTCCTGTGACCACTGATGAAAGACCAGAGGATGGTCAACACACACTGTGCAGCAACAGACAAGCTATCATCCTTAACTTTACATCCACAAGGTGGACCAACGAGTGGACAGTGAGTGGACACTGGAGTTTATAAACTCCAGCAACACTGCTGTGTCTGATCCACTTGTACCAGCGCAACACTCACTAACACCACCACCACCATGTCAGTGTCACTGCAGTGCTAAGAATGAACCACGACTCAAATAATACCTGCTCTGTGGTGGTCCTATTGGGGTCCTGATCATCAAAGAATGGGATGAAGAAAATCCTAAGAAAGTATGCAGAGAAGCAGATGGACTATAGTATGTAATCATAGAACTACAAAGTGCTCCTGTATGGTAAGTGGACTTCATAAAATGGACAATGAGTGTAAATTCAAGCAAGGTGTACTTAGTGAAGCGACCAGTGACTTTATATATTATAATTTTCCTACCACCCCTAATTGATATATAGTGTTTGGAATTCACAAGAGATAACAGTGGAGGAAGAGAAAACTGCATGAGCCTGGTACCAGGACACCCCCCCGACCCAAAAAAACAGAAAGCTACTTGTTTAATTCTGTCAGCACTTACACCACATGCACGTCCAAGTGCTTACTGTTTAGTTTAGTCAGTGTAACGGTAAAGATGGCTGATAAGTGCATTATACTTCTATTCTTGTTTTCTTTTTCAAAATGGTAGTTTGTAACACAAACTGAATAAAAATTTGTGCAATTTCAGGCTTGTCAGATCACATTCCTTACATACCAAAATAATGCAACAACAGCACTCAGAAATCACGGTATCAACGGAAATGAGCATAAAAAACAACAGAAATAGACACTTTTTTGCATTGGCCTTAAAGGGTTAATACTGCTGTGCAGTGTTTAGAATTCCAGAGAGAGAGAAAAGAATGCAGCAGCAATCACAGAGCCTCTTGAAGACCTATAGGTCACACCCCCTGACACAGAGGCAGGAAGTGTGATGAGAGGAAACAGAGACAGAACACACACATCCCACACACCACTCACCGGACATGACGAGGGGGCTACAGTAATACTTATAACTCTTAACTAATGATAAGGGTGAAGTACCTTGGAACAACGTTTGCTGTAAAAAAAGCCTTCTTAATTAACCTCACAAGCTTATTACATTCTGTGTCCCTATTATCATTATTATTATTATTATTATTGAGTTCTTGTATAGAAAACAATGCAGTTATTTTTAGGTTAAAGAAGTGAGGAGAGGAAGGTTGGTTCTGCCACTGGCTCCTGGCCATTTAAGGGGCTAAGACGGTGCAGAAAGCGCTGAGTAAGTTGCCTCCAATGGTTATGACTTTTACTCTTCTCAAAAATGAAGCCTACATGTTCTCACTGCACCCACAGCAGCGCTGCTGGTTGTGTGGTATATATCTGTTGACATTCTTTTTGCTTATGTTTCTCCACCAAGATAGCAAGCCAAACATCATGTGATCCAACCACCACCGAACCTGCAGAGCATATCTTGATCCTGGAACCTCAGCTTCTCTAAAAAACAGTATCCTACACTGGTGCTCTTTACAATAAAGATTTGTACCTGCTCTCATATATTTGAAGGAATCTAGGCACTCATTGTCAATGCCTTGCCCTGTTCACAGTTCCTTAGTTTCCAGATTTCAGATAAACAAACTGCTTAGATAAGTAATTCAACAACCACTGTACAGTGGATATCCTCAGCCTCAAATCTCCTAGAAAATCAGAAACATGTGAGCTGCAGAAAGCGGAATGCATTCTAAATACAAATCAGTCATTTTCTACTAACTGCATATGGAATGATGTGAGGCTGTGAATCCATCAGAAAGCATCAGATTGTTTATGCACTATGCTTTTACATCAGTGGGCAAGCATAGATGGGAGTCTTCTCGAGAGACAATTATTACTCCATATGTGCTTTTACAAACCACAGTCAGCTGAATGGCAGTCTGTTCTTGTGTGGTTTGTAGAAGCAATGGTTGTTTCTTCAGCCCTCGATTTTTAATGTAACTTGTGAAGTAAGACATTCTGTGTGCATTATTGAAGGGAAAGGCATTTGATAAGGGACCTCCTAAAGATGACAGTGTAGTTTAAGCACTATGTATAAGCTCTTTCCATCATACACTTTTGCAAGCTTGCACTTTCTTGAGTGTTACAAGCTTTTATAGGCCTCTGAAATTGCATTGTTCTGCATCACACCAGAAATAGGAACTCTGGTTCTAAGCTGGTTCTCTCTATGAGAAAAATGAATGTGTTTTCTGAAAATCACTGCCATCGCACGTTAACAACAATGGGCCTCAGATTCATGATGTGTTCTTAAACTCCTGAACTGTTTGCACCTTTGTGCTCTGAGTGTGTGTAGATTCTGTGTGTGTCAGAACAAATCCCAAATAAGACAACATTGGTGAATGTCAGAATCTTTATAAAAACTGCATAAGTGGGTTTTAAGAAGGAATTTTTTCTTAAGAATGGTTGGTGAATGAGGCTCGTTGTTCCAAACTGAACACATTTTGCTATACGGACATTTTTCCTATGAATGTTACCAGGTCCATTAAGCTACAAGATCATTAAGGAGCCCAAATATGAATATTTTTACATACAGCTAACACTGCCAGGCACTGAACTGACATTATAAGACTGGCAACCTGCAGTTTTAGTCATTTGTGTTGGTATATCATAGTATTTTTTAGATTTGTAAGCGTTAGCTTGCTTGCATTTCTGTTTTCCACAGGGCTCAAAAGTAGCGACTTTCAAAAACATTCATTTTTCTCATAGACTAAAACTGCTTAGACCCAGAGTTCCTAATATGGGCATGACGGCGACTCCACAGCTTCAGAGGTCTGTGTTATCTGAATGGTTACTGATAAGGTTACATATAATTACTGTTTAAAAACCGTCTAAGTGCAATATTTCACGATGAACGCACAAATAGACACTATCCAAAATGACCTGGCATAAACTATCATTATATTAATGCGCATTTCAAAGTGAAGAACTCTTTTTCCTTCTTCTTCACCATGGAGATATGAGGACTTGTTATCACAGTGATGATATGCATATTAAATGTCATATAGAAATATAATACACACTCTAGGCAGAAAGGAATTAGCCTGTACTATGTGAGAAAAAAGGGGAAGAGGAAAATAAAGCAGAGTTAAAGGGGTTGCATATGTGCAACATCCCTGAGTACGACTGCTGATGTAGGTCACTTTCTGTCCATCATATTTTCATATAATGGATATAATAAAGCAGTTAGGGAAAGTGACCCATATCAGCAGTTGACCTCTGAGATTTCTGAACATACGGCCCAGCACTCTGAGACAGTCTTACCCTTAAATTCGGCCTCTTGGATACCTGCAAATCACAGACGATAACAAGACAGACATGAGGTTACAAACATGCACACACTCAATACCAGCAATGGCTGGATTTCCTACAACAGCTCACTCCTGGAGTACCTCTGTCCTGCATATTCTGGTATTTTCCCTGCTATAATATACTCGATTCACCTGTTTGGGTGATTAACAAGTCCTTCCTGGTGGCCAAGAACATGCAGGGTTTTTGTTTATTTCATTTAGAAAAGAGTGAAACGATTCAGTGAGACTATGTATGTTAGGCCCAAGTATGTTGCTTGTGGCTCCTAAACGTCCAGAAATGGCCCTGATTAGAGCAGGGAAAACACTAAACTACGCACAGACTAGGACTGAGCACCAATGCAATAACTTAATGAGACATCAGCACACAAAAGGTGTCAAGGAATGGCCAAACACACATAGCACGAGGCGCACGCAAAGACTTTTATGAACAACTCGCAAAATTCCTGTTGGTTTATCAACTGTTCAATGCCAAATAAACAGAACTAGAAAAAATTCTTGCCTAACACATTTCTTGCGCTTAAACCAACAAAGCAAAAGCACTTGTGACAAAGAATTACTGGTCTATTATAAGATCACAGTGTAGTATAACCTGTTTCAAAGTAGGTTTATAACTTTTATTTCACATACAAACAGAAGCAAAGCAAAAGCAGATATATACAGACAGGTAACTCAACAGATATTTATAGCAATACGCATTTATTCATGACTGTGTTATGAGCTGTTTATTAATATACATCTCTGACAGTCATGATGTTATTAAGGTGGACACGTATAAGCACGCCGACACACATATCAGCTCTCAAATCTCACCCTATGGTCTACTTTCCACCCGATCTGTGGGTTGAAAAAACAATGCATGCACCACAATGACACGGTGAATGAAGAATGGATCTTATACATACTGACTCTCCAAAAACAGATTTTTCAAAATTTCTGCACAGTTTAATAATTAACATATAAACAAAGTCATAACCAGAGTGGTTAGATATAAAATATTTAGTTCAAGAGAAAATACAGAATTGTTCACAGTGGTGGCGATAGGAACCAGATGTTTGAAGAGTTAAAGGCCTTTAAAAGCTACATCATAGAAAGTTATTACATAAAATGGTTATGAATACGCTGCCTGACATTATAATGTTGCAATAGATTTTTGGCATAAAACATATTTTCAAGTATATGCAGGGTGCAGACATACATGCAGAGTCTTGTAAGGCAAAACAGTACATAAATAATGTTTTTTTTTAATTTACCATGAATTCACCAGTATCAAGATTCAGTACAAAAAAAGAGTCGGGCACCATTTCACATCAAACAACTCTAAATAACTCTTTAATTCTCAATGACTGAATTGTGAAATTTTGCTTCTAGAAACTTGTATTAGGTCTCTGAATCATACAGTGCTTCTTGAATGTAAACAACTTAATGTATTCACAAATGAAATGGTCATTTCCAGACGTGGAACTCAGTCTAGATCTGGGATAAGCTCACCTTGCATTCTCGGCTCACAACCTCAGGAGGAGCACAGCTAGAGATTTGGCTGGAGATGGTGGCTGCGATCAACTGCTTACACCACTCCACGTGGGAACCAGTGGGACTGAGGGAGATACACAGAGAGTATGAGTGAATTCACCCAGCGCTGGATTGGTTGGTTAGTTAATAAGACTCAAGGATGGCGACCAAAGGTGTAACGATTTCATTCCAGTAAAAACAAAACAAAAAGTGGGCAGAGAAGGGGAGTGGCTTATGCCACGCATAGAAATGTTGGTCTAAACCCAAATACAGTGTGGGGACTTTCTGAGGGTGACCTCACCTACATCATCAACTTTTGAGTCCAAACCCGACCCAAGCCTGACAAAATTCTGTCTGAACCTGACCAGCCCTTCGCCACCCAAAGTGCCAAATAAAACCTAATTTTTCTAATAACACTGCCATGTAGCAGTATAGCTGTGATTAGACTACAAATAAATATGGTGAGAAAACAATATATAACAATAAAATAATCTGCTGTCCAAAATTAAAGTTACATTATTCAACAAGCAATGCTTTCAAACAACATCTCAAATGTTTTTAATCTGAATAAGCTTCCCACAATGCGCTGAGGCCTCGTGACCCTCAGTGATAAATTCTGTCAACAATACTGTCAACAACTCCAGCATGGCAGATAAAAATCTTTAAGTTTAATAAAAACCGTTTGAGGTAATGAAGATAATAAAGCAAGGACAACAACTACAGCAGGGGAAAATCTGTTAGAAGTGGAAGGTGGGCTGTGAGAACCCAAATGCGAAGTCTTAGTCTAAGCCCAACACGTATTTGGCAAACGATGTCCAGCTCTGACTGGACCCATGATGGACATTTGGTGCATCACGTTCAGACAAACTCATGCTCTATTTCATGCACCCACGCCTTTTTTCTTATGTTGCTTACAAATTCTACAGGTTAAGTAGTCTTTAGCCATGTTCAAGCTGAATTACCAACGAGATCAGTGATTTTAATCCAGTATGAATCAGTCAGTCCATAGTTTTTACAAGTCTGTTAAGTAATAACTATAGACCAACTTACATTCTTACAGCTCCAACTTACACTTCGTCAAATCCAGAGCTCTTTCAGTAATAGCAGTCCTGCTGGAATCAACCTCACGGTAATGTAACAATAAATCCTGCTGACAGACAAGGTGACTGTTTTTTGGTGGCTGAGAGACAAGCGAGTTTGATTGCAGGCCTACTGTAATCTATAACATTTTTGTTGGCCTAATGGCCTAATTAGAAAGAAAACATCTTGGAAGTACTTCTCACAGGGCAGTGCGATTTGTCTTGTTGGGTGGTACTTGTTGGTATTGTATCTGACTAATTGGAAGTTAAATTTTGTTGTTTGCTCATGTGGATGGGTATAATTTTAACCTTAATGCTGATGTGATCCTCTGGGCTATGATGTTTTGGTACATGCTATCTGGAGTAATTTGGGGAAATCCCATTTATCCTGTATGAATCTGACAGTCAAATTCCTCATAAATTACACTACAGCACCTCCTCAATTAAAACTAACCCTAAATAGGGCTTGTGTAGTACATAAACAGAGCTTTCTAGCATCAACACATTTTAACACATAAACTATTTAAAATTTTGACCTCAGGACCGAAAATGGTATGGAGCCAGAAAACATGTTGTACCCCTAACGGCTACTTACTCTACAGTAGTGTTTCTGGTTCCTGGTCATTAAGTAGTAATCAAAACTTGAAAGGTTGCTATGTTAGTTATAGCTGACTTTATCAAAACTTTAACCCAATAACTCAGAGCTTGTGAACTGCCTGTACGTGAGCTACACCAATCAGAAACAACCAAACAGCCATCGGCTGTGACATCACAACCACAGTTAACTGGCAGGTTGCACAACAAGTTCAGTGTTAAAACCTCAAGATGGAAATAGTAGATAGTCTAAGTAACAGACATGCACATTAAAATTAAGATTTTTTAAATAAATTAATCAATATTGGTCAAAAAAAAAAATACATATCTTCCCCAAGTCGTTCAGTCCTATCCTTGAACAGCACTGAGCTGCATATTTGAGTGCTTTTCCTGCTCCAGTACATTCAGCTCATGAAGTAAACAATAAAACCTTCCCGAGCTGTTAGAGTGAGACAGCACCACAGTGTGTGAGCTAGTGTGCAGGAGAGATCTTCTCCAGGACCAGAGCTGATCTTCACCAGCAGTAGAAAGGCTGTGTTTTCATACATCCTGATCTGGAGGGAGTTAAGATGACAGATGGCGTTATGAGGTCACTAAAATGTGTCGGTGGGTTTCAGTGGGGAGCAGCTATAAGCGAGATTTAAGCGCAGGTCGGGTTTGTTTTTTAACAATACGCGGAGTTAAGCTACACTGATAAACAGGCCTACATAGAATAAAGAGCAAACCGCGATGAGATGCACGCAGATGCTCTCATTAATGGCGAGCAGCTCCATGTAACAGCAGATGGGTGGATATGATGAAAACAGCAGACTTAGCAACCGGACTATTGCATCGCATTTCCGACTAATACGGAAAACTCGTTAAAGAGGCTCAACAGTGCAGGGTGACGAGGCTGAAGTTCGCTTCCTATTCGCCAGATTCTTGTTCAAATTGTTCCGTTCCACCTTAAATAGGCGCCAGAATGTAGCTGCTGCACCATTTAAGGTGGACCGGGACAATTCAAATAGATTTGAAATGATTTCAGCTTCGTGCAGGATGCACAGTGAGGTGTGAAGGCTCGCGTCTGTTTCTACACGCAGGCTGTGCAGTGTGCAGTAAAGGCTACATTTATCTTTGGGTTTGGTGTGTAAAGCCCAGCCTCCTCTTTACCCACCTGTCCAGTGAGTCTCCGCTCTCTTGTCTAGACACCGGGACAGCTCCGAGGCTCCGGGGTTTTCTCGGTATCGGGGGAGCCCCGCTGCTCTCTGAGCCTGAGCTCGGCTGTTTCTCCATTTCCCCGGTCTCTGTCTCCTCGGCGGTCCGGGTGTGCAGAGTGTGTTTTTGTGAGCAGAGAGACGTGCTGCTCGTCACTGCGAAGATGCCATGGCCCTGTGTGCTCCGTGCTCTTCCCCTCCCCAGCCGGACGTCGTCACAGCTTCCTGTCGCTTCTGCTCCGCTGATAAACAGCGCTGTTTTCATTCAGTAGTGATGGGAGGCTCGATTCAGTTTAGCGAACCGATTCTGTAAAACTGTTTGGTTCATTGAATCGAGCGTCCGGTTCAACGATTCACTGATTCACAAGTCAACGGTTGTGTCGTGTTTATTCCAACACGCGATCTTACAGCCGCAAATACTGTACCGGCCTGAGGTAAGATACAGAAAAAGTCAAGAAAAAAGTGTTTTATGCTTCGATTATTATGGAACTCAATTTTACTTTTATTTGGCAGCCTAATTCGATCTTGCTTTGTGTATTTATCTTTTTATTTTGTTATTGTCTATTTTTATGTACTGCTCTATTTTATTTTACTTTATTTCAATTGTATTACCATTTAATTTTAGCCTTTTGAGCTGCCACTCATTATTATTATTATTATTATTATTATTATTATTACTATTATTATTATGAGGAACCCAAATGCTGTCTACATTGAGAAAATATAAATAGATTCTGAGAGGTTAAGAGTCTGTAGTTGTTATTGTCATTTTGCTATTCATTTGATACACAGCTAATTATTCTTCTGTAATCAGATCATTAATGACATAGCTAGTCAACAGTTACAAAGGATATGGACTTAATTTCACTTAGAATATCAACAAAAAAATATTTTACCAGGGCCCCCCAAACATTTGCATAGGACTCTATGTAATGAGTTACATTTACATTCAATTTACAGTGTAGGGACAGTTTTCAGGCAAAAGTGTGATAATGTATTCCACGAGGGACACTTTAGAATCTGCACTTTCAAAGTTATTTCTTTGTTAAATTCAATGACATACAAATATGAAATAATTAAAATGTAAGAAGAAGCACTTCAAGTCAAACGAGCCTTGCAGAGCTTAAGAAGTTTAAAGAGAAATCCCACCAATTTTTCAAAATCTTTATAGTTAATTGTTGAGATGTGAACAAAGTCATTCAGAGTGGATTGAAGTGAAATTGTGGAGAAATCTAGTCTCAGATTTCTTTACATTGGTGGTGACAGGAACCAGAAGTTGTGATGTCTACTACGCAGAAAGACATTTTATTTAGTATCCAGAACATGTTGATGAAGGTAAAATGGTGGTATCTGTTGCCCTGTATTTGTTTTAAAGATATATTTTAGGCCAATACCTTATTTCAATAAAAACAATGTCTCAGTCATCAAACAACATATTTGCATCTATTTCCTGCAATACTTATGAGAGGCATTAAACACTTCGGGTGTCTGGTTCCCATCACCACCACTGTGAACAACTGTGGGCCCAGTTTACCACAAGCATCTCAGTGTTAAGATCATATCAACTGGTAGACTGAGAGTTCAGTGTGATACTTACTCTACCACTTAAGAATAACAAATGCTAAGATGCTTTTGGGAAACTCCACCCTGACTACTCAAGTGTGAACGTACTTAATTACGCCAGGTGTTTCTGCTGATCTCCGTCTTTCACTTTTCTTTATCGTTGCCCAGGTTTCACAGCTAAGCTTTTCCCCCTCATATAAACACAGTGAAGTGAATAAGCTTGTGAGTTCATACTGTCTGTACAGTCTGCCCCCCCCTTGCATTCAGTGTAGACTCGAGCATTAGCAAAAGAAGAAAAATAATCATTTAAGAGGCAGCAATCAAAGAGAGACAACGCTGTACATGTCATCTTCATACATGTGAAATCTTTAAATTAATTTAATCAGCATTATTTACAGAACAATAGGCGGCCATCAAACAGTGGAGCATACATGAGGGAGAACAGAACACAAAATTCATTCCCTAAAAAAAGTCTAAACAGCACAAACAAAGATAATGTCAGATAATAAAGCATCCACTCCCCCCCAAAACAAACACAAGAAAAGGAAACAAAACGAGTGCAGAGTTCCTTCACTCAACCTCACACACACACACACACACACACACAGTAAAGGGATTGAGAACAAAAATTCCCTAGAAAGTTTGAAAGGAAAAAAATCTTAGAATTCTGAGAACTCTCAGATCTCTATGATGTCATAAACAAACCTAAATGCCCATTAAGTAAAGAAATATATGATGTCCACTAATTACCAACAGTTTAACCAATCAAAACACGTTTTCTTATTACTTTCCTTTGTATAAAACTGTCAAATTTTACACTGAATAAAATAATTATATTTTACAACAATAGAACTTTCAACAGTAAAATAGGCTTTGTTGAGGTAATTACATAGTTATGGTACTTGTACAAAATAAAAAATAGATTTCCCCCCTTAAAAACACAACCGACAGTAAAGGGTTTGTGTTTGTTGCTGTTTTTTTTTTTTTCATCTTCTTCTCACAATATGGTTTAAACTTCATCTCCTCATTGAGGCCAAAGACTTCAAAAGGTACGCTTTTCTGAGGCAGCATTAGTTATGGCACCGAGGTGCCCCAATGAGCTTGTCCCGGATCAGGTTAGTCCAGTCTTATTGCTAGCCTTAATCAGTATTTGCAACAGGTAGAACTGACTTTGGAACAGCTCAAGAGGGCAGCTTCTCCCAACATGTTTATCTTTAGCTTCAGCTCATATGGACTATGTGCTCCCATCCACAGGAAGGGACCCAAAGCATAGCTGAAGTGTCCGTGGCGATTGTACTTCAATTTAAGAGGTAACCGGAAGCCATTGGTGCATGGTGACTCAAGAGCAATCCTGTCAATCAAAAATAGAAAGCTAAAAGAAATTATCCTTCATTGCCACTGATGCCGCCTACAGAAAACAAACAAACAAACAAACAAACAAGTTTTGCTTATAAAATGTCTACTTGAGGTTAGAGAATACCTCGGACAGAAAAGGCACAGAACTGGTCTCTCTAGCCCCAAAACCCTGGTTCTGTTTGATAAGCGCATCCAAAGCATCTTTTAGGACATCTTCCTCCCAAACTGCAGACATGTCTATCTTGAGCAGCCAATGCCCTGTATGCTTGAACGTTAAAACAACATTAACTTATTCAAGACAAATGCTTTGTGGTCAGACACTAAAATTCATGTCACCAATTCGACCAAGTCATCGACACTGACAAGAGATTGCTTTTTAGAACCAGAGGTATGCAACCTCTGGCTGATACTGGATTGAGTGGACAAAACACCAAGCAAAAGCCAATAGCTCTCCATAAACCACACACTACTTCACTATTTTAAAGGTGGTTATGTCAATGAGAAATCAACCATCCAAAACTTAGTGCATCTCTCTTTTTATCATAAACTCTCTTACTCTGGTCTATGAATCTACATACTGTGTTTCAGATTATCTCTAGACATTTACAGTCTTGTAGCCTTAACACACATACCAACACCTCCTGTATACATCACATCCAACTACCTTACTTATGATCAATCATCTACCAAATAAGTGCACACAGTTTAGGAAGAGCTAGAGCCTTTTGCCCACACTACGTTCATTAGTACACATAAAAACATATCACTGTCTCTTTAAGGCTTCACGTCACCCACATCTGACTTGCGCTATGAAGGCCGTAATGTGACATTATTGCATAATCGCGTATTTTTCAGTTACTTGTTATCATCAACGTTACTACTGTTTGTGTTATCGCAGTTATTACTATTGCTATGTACAAACGTCCTGCGTGTTGGTGTGCCGGTGTGATCAGAAGGGTGTCTGCAGGTGTGTGATGTGCTGATTGGGCGAGGCAGCATTAGGAGTGGAGCTGTTGCTCAGGTGAGTGGAGTCCGACAGCTGCAGCTCCTCCAGTTTCTTCAGATACTGATCCCGAAGTGCCAGGAGCTCCTTATAGCGCTGCTCCACTGGACTTTGCTGCCAACACAGACATAAACACAATAAGAGAAGAATATATAATAGAGGTCTGCACAGGAATCAGATCAAAGCCCAAATCTAATATGTGCCCCCAGCTTTGAGACCCAACCCAACCACGCACAAGTGGTACTGCTAAACTTTAAACCCAAACCTGACCCAAACCGGCTTGCAACTGACAGAGATGGATTTTCTCAGATGTGGTTTTACAGTGCTTTGCTTTGCTGCCAAGCGCTTAAGTTGATCGACTGCACTAAACCTTATCCTGAATCACGGTGGGAAGTTTACTAGTAGCAAAGTGAAAAAAACTGACTAATTTCAACTTGGTCATCGAGCTTGTTTACACCTTGCATTAGCACGTTTCGTATCTGGATTACATCTGGATATTGTATCTGGCCAGATTCCATTTACACCTCTCACTAAATGTGTCCCCAGTTTGACCAGATGAGATCCAATTGTACTTTTCCCACATAAAATGCTTATCAACATACACATTGTTCCCGCTACTTTTGTTTACTCTTTTCTCTGTTGGCTTAGATACTTTCATCGGCCAGGAAGCACTTGGTTTGGGGCTACCTTCAGCCTCACGTATCCTCTGTCTTTTGTTTTCTTGTTTATTCTCGCACCGGCTAGTCAGTGCTGGGCAGATGCATTTCCACTTACATAACCGTATAGGAATAACAAATCACAAAGTGTTTACACTTGTGTTAAATGTGCTCAATATCGGTGTGTGAGCACCTCCGAACATGGTTTGAGTGATACGAGCGTAATCTGACCACAAAGCGTCCTGGGGGCATTTCACATGACTTTTCATGCAGTCAAGTGAAATATGAATGTGACCCGATCACCAAACGCATGTTCCTGAAGGTGTAAACAGGCCCATTGTGTCATGACTGATTAGAATTTTGAAGCTTGTCATGTCTTTCCTAAACATCCGCTTCATTTCTTCTCCCATCTCTGCTTAGGAACCGTTCCACTATTCGTCATTACTTCAGTCAAGCTTTCATTTTTTTTTTTAGCAGTGAATTAGTGTTTCTGTGAATGTACTCTGAATTTGAAGCTCCAGATGTTCAAAAGTTGTGCCTGAGGGACCTCTTAAACTGAGACCTGATTTTTCAGCTGAGGATGGCCATTTCTAACCCAAACACAAATAAAAACCAAAAGCTGGAATTAAACCAAATATTATCCCTAAATAAATACATG